TCAATATGGCTTTAGAGAGAAACACTCCACCCAGCATGCAACGCTAGATATTAGGAACACTATTCAAAACAACATGGACAATAAGTTGTATACCTGTAACATCTTTATAGACTTAAAGAAGGCATTCGACACAGTGAATCATGAAATTCTTCTGCAGAAATTACATCATTAGGGAATAAGAGGAATAGTCAGCAACTGGTTCCCTTCTTATTTTAAACTGCGTTCGCAGACAACTAACATTGGCCCCTATATTTCGGAAAAGGCTCCTATTGGTCGCGGCGTTCCCCAAGGCTCTGTTCTGGGGCCTCTACTGTTTTTTTTTGTATATAAATGACAAGTTTTATTTATTTGCCGATGATACCAGTATCTTGTATGGTAGTAAAAACCTTAAATCCCTAGAGTTAGAAGTAAACGTTGAGCTAACCAAGCCTTTGTGAATGGCTGACAGCAAACAATTTAACTCTAAATGCTAAGAAATCCAATTATGTCATATTTCGAAATTATAGAAAGAAGCTATCTTTCCAACCAACGATAAATATCTTTGACATCGATAAAATGTCATATTCACCATTAGAATACAAGGATTATGTAAAATATCTGGGCATACTCATTGACAAGAATCTTAACTGGAAAACTCATGTTGATCTCATTGCTCTAAAAGTTAGTAAATCCATTGGTATGATAGCTAAACTAAGACACTTTGTACCCCTTTCTATCAATGTCAAGTTATATCAGTCTCTTATTCACCCCTACCTTACTTATCGAATTAGCTCGTGGGGTCAAGAGTCGCAGTCAACTTTGGATAAGCTTCTTCTCCTTGAGAAGAGGGTGATTCGTTTAATTAACTTTTCTCCAAAGTGTGAACATGCTATTCTTTTTTTCTTAATCTTGATATTCTGCCTGTTCATTTTGTTTATGTCGAATATGTTTCTTTTTTAATGTATGATATTCAGAATAAACTAGTTCCTCTCCGGTATTCAAAATCTATTTAACTATGTCTCAGATATACATTCCTACAACACCAGATCAGCAACTACCAAAAAATTTTATGTCATGTCTTCTGGACTGCAACAACTTAAGAATTCTTTTTCCCACTTTGGCGTGCAGCTATGGAATGCCTTACCTGACAGTATTAAAAAATCTGCCCATAGAAATTTATTTAAAAAACAAATACATGAAATACCTATTAATATCTTCAAGCAACAGAACTTGTATCTTACACCATCGTCAATTCTTGAAATAATTAAAAATTTGTAAACCGCATCAATCCTCTAGCTACGACCAGTATAGCGAAGTCTCTTCCTATTTTCCTGTTATTATTATCATTTAAATTAATTTACTATTAACTTTAAATTATTATTGATTGTAATTTGAACTACTGTTTTCTTACTGTAATCTGAACTGCCGATTCAAAATCTTTATAAGTACCAGTGATAAGCCTAACTTAATTATACCTACCCGCCTCGACAAGTTTTTAACTAATTGTGGGTAGGCATTTGTCAAATTAAAATTGTTGTAAATCAATAAATTGTTGTTGTTGTTTGTTGTTGCATGCTCTTTTTATATCTTTTTCTTTAACATTTTTATTGCTTAATCGGGCTACCTTTGTTTCCGTACATGGATTTTCTTACGTTTTCATCCCTCAACACCTCAAAACACCTGATACTTTCTGAAGCATTTATGTTCTCTATTTTTGTGGTAGTGCTATAACAATATAGTTATACTTTAAAATTATATAATTATTGAGTATTGTTTAGAAAATACGTAATGTGAGACATATGTCAGAATGTTTTTAAGTTTATGTTTACCTTTTTTAATTCAACTTTGCGCTGTGTTTTCGGAAACAACATGAATAGGAATTAGCTTAGATTTTCATAATTATTTTTACATGATTATTATTCAGAATTACCATTATTATCAGTAGTAAAGCTACGACTCAGATCATCATTAGTATTGTTTAGCCACTTCACCAAGAATACCTCACTTTTCTCTGTTAAGGGATGCCACATATCCCTAAACACAGCTCGTTTTTTAATTATGTAACTCGGCTGCACAAAAGCATTAATGGCGTGAATTAGGTTGGCTGTAGAGGTATCTGAGGGATTTCCATATGCGGAAATGCTCTGCAGACACACACCGAGATCTTTTGTGTATTTAAATTAGCCTCATTTGGTTAATACAAATGATATGCACTAAAACTTGTATTTCCATTAAAGTAACTAGTTAGTTTGTATCTTCACTATTTTCTTCTTTGTAGATCAAAAAAGTGCATGATTGGAGCAAACATGGCCTTATTTAGCTTGTTTGATCAAAAAAGTCCATGATAGGAGCAAACACGGCCTCATTTAGCTTACTACGCTTTCCGCTTCCTGAGTAAATTTTATTTCTAAGATTTCACACGTTAAAACGTTAAAATTATTTGAGCCTTTCAAAAGATTAGTGTTATTAGCGAATGCACATTGGATTACAGGCTGCTCTAAAAAAAAGTTGATCAGAAATGGTAGGTGGCCAATGCGTATTTTTTTTTATTTGAATCAGGGCACTTAGCCTAGAGAGCAGAAAACCAACACTGACATGTTTCAAGTGAAAATGACCGTTGAATGTTAATAGGAATTGCAAACCAGAACACCTTCCATCTTATTCCTTTAACTTTTGTTTTTCCTTTTTCTTTTTGAAAAAGCTAAGAAAATTGAATTTCTAAACATCAGATATGGACAGCTTTGATTAAAAACAGTTTCCAATTTTTGCTGACTGGAAAAAGTACTTCAGTTGATCATGGCCCAAAAAAAGAGATTTGAATCGTGTGGAAACTGTTTGTAGCTGTATGAAGATTGTTAATTATGCCCAGAAAGCTTGGATTATGTTCAATAAACATCTTTGAGGTACAGCAGCCCGTGAACAGGTGTCAAACGTCGAAAAAAGAAAGGAAACAAAAAAAAAGAAAAACTTTACAACTTGTAAAAAAAGTCCGATAAAAGTAAAGGAATTATGCACCTGGAAGTGAGAAGCGAACAATTCTGATCGGAAAATAAATCTGAGTAACACAATATTACAGAGAAGCTTACCACCACTCCACTGAACGATATGCTTATGTTCAGCTTCACCTCAGTTAGTGGCTGGTGCTTCCCTGCATCGGTGGGGGATAGCCAGATCTTCAACGCTGTCTCGAGATGTTGATCTGACTCTCAGCTTTCTTACGTATCCATTACGCGTTAATTTGATGGTGAACTCCTTTGAAGTGCTCTGGAGAGTCCTAAAAAACACTTACACCACTCCTCTTGATCAATTAAGTTTGTTTCCTATTTAACAAATACGCGTTTGAGCGGACATCTGATTAAGAATTGATTAAACATTTGAAATCAAATTCCCTTTCTTCTGAAATATTGTATTTATCTTAGACAATATGGCCGACAGTTAACTCTCAACTTAATTTCCTTCCCATGAATATCTCAACAAAGATCTGTTTAAATACGTTATTAAATTTGGCTTTTAGGATTTTAAATGACCACCCTCTTTTTAAGGAATAAGAGATTTAAGTATTGAATACAATAATAGGGTCAATTTGTAAATTGAGAATTCAGAATTTTTCTGACCGTAGATAAGCAGCCTTTTGTTGTCACGAAGTGTATTGAGGGTTACAAAGCAAAGCTAATGTAAGAAATATAACATCAAAATAGAAACGAAGATTTCACAGTAGGGGTTAAAGTAAACGTGATTTTAGGGCGTGTATTCAAAGATTGATGTGATTGCTCAAAGGCGAATGGATATGTGCAAATTAATTTTTCGCTATCATACAGCTATGACGTTCGTCTATAAGCCTTTTGTCTTATAAACTGTTGTTCTCCAATCCATTTGATAAGCTATCTGAATTCGCTGAGTTGATTTAGTAACGATTTTTCAAAGAATAGCAACAACAAGGGTTAAGCTTTGGCTCACATAACGACGTACATAAAACGAAAGGTGAATTCAAAAGGAATATGATGTGAATATAAATCAAGCTTGGGTTGAAGTTTCTTTTTCACGCTAACAAATGTTGATTAACTTCTTGGGAAGTCATTGCTTCTATGGAAATCATACTTGATGAAGCATTGAGTAAAATCACCCTGGCTGGAAAACTCGTTCAATTTTCTGCTGAAATCAAATTTGACAGATACAACGTGCTTGTACGTGTAAATGGCGATTCGACTGCTTCTCATGTTCGCTTTCTTTCCTTGAGGTTCGCTTTTTGATCTCGACTGATCTTGTTTTCTGGAAATAGATTCCGATAAAATTTTTCCTTACCGTGTCAATTTGGAAATGATTTTAGTTTTCGTCAATCAACGGTGGTTTCGACGCACAGCGTATTTATTAAAGCTATGGACCCACGCTCAGGGTCTCGACACCCGATGATTTCATCAGCCTAGTGGTTTACATGTGGTTTTGTTTGCTGAAGTTGGGAGATGCCTAGAAGTCTTTACATCGATTCCTTGACACATTTTACCATCTAAATGCTATTACAAACATTTTACTAAGAGAACGTGCATGGCAAAGCGTGAGTGGGGCTTTTTTAGAGGACCTTTTTGTCAAAAGAAGGTGTATTTACCCATCACGAAATGATGACAAAACTAATTATTTTTTTGTGCTATAAATGGATTTTTGTCCTTGTCAGTTTTGCCGTCAACACACAATAGTGAACTCAAGTCAGGATAAACACTTTAGCAATTAAGGTGTTCGGTGTCTGAAATTGTGTCTTTACAAGACAAACTTTAGAATTTAGGATGGAAAATTGTTTGCTTAACTATTTCCCTTAATGTAATCTTTTTTTTTTCTGTCATAACTGTTTTGCATATTTGAAACTCAGCAGTGTATATAGTGGTATAAAATTGCGGAAATTGCGTCACCATTTTTCAAGCCATTTCAGACCTCTATGAACTAAGAAGTTTCCTTGACATATGCTGCGAAAGGACAGTATTCGACAGCCAGTCCGGGTAAGCTTGGATGCGTTAAATTTAAAAAAAAGTAAGACTTTACAGGTTAAACAGACAAGTATTCGCCCGAAGTTAGCAATAAATCGTTTCAGCACTAAATTATTCTGCGAATTCTAGTGAATTATAGAGATGTTTACTTCGTTAAGATTGTTTCAACTCTATGACTACTGCTTGTTTTAGGAAATGAAATAAGTGACTACTGCACAAGGTAATTCTATGGAAAAACATTTTCATTCGTGAGGGAACCAAAGTAATTCGAATTTATTTCAGTAAGTGTCTCTTTTCCACCCACACGTCCATTGAACGACTATGATGACCAGGCTACTGAGTTTTATGAATGGGTAACCGAAAATAATGCTGCGAATATGGGAACATTACTAACCAACCGAAATGCGAGTGAGTCAGATTATCATGGCGAAAAAAAAAAAGCTAAAAATTCCAATTCAATTTTTAAATGCTTGTTTGCTTTCAGTTTGTTTGTTTTTGAACCATAGAAATAAAAAAAAACTTCATCGAATCGAAGGTGACTTTAAAGTGAACCATTGTCGTGCACAGAGTCAGTAATTAACATAGCAACGAACATCTAATTTATTTCCTTCACACATTTTCAATATTTAGCATTTTTCTCTTTTTGTGGTAAACTAAGTAATATCATATTTTATTTAAGAAATGTCAGGGATTATTTAAGTTGCTCAAGAGAAAATAAAAAGATTCAGTATGTTCCAGCTTTGTTCTCCTTTAGCTTTCAATTCGGAGATACTCGATAACTTGAGTTCATCTCAGTTTCCTTGGCTGAAAATGATTGTTTGTGTTGAATATATTACCGATTATAGTAAGTCCCATTAACAAAAATTTTACCTCTACTCTGCCTAAACGGTAATTAACACTACAGTTGGGACGATTAAATCGTTTAAAAAACACCATCGTAGAAAATTAAGCATTCCCAAACCCTGCTTTCTCATTCAAACTATTTTCTCTCAATGGCTTTCCTTTTTGTGCTAGAGTGTCAACCGCGCAAAGGGGGGAGAGATGATTCCAAGAAAGTTAAATTTTTTGCTTGCCTTCGCCACAAACTGTATTCGGATGATACTGTAAACATCTACTTCTTCTTTTCCTTCTACTTTTTGCGGCCTAAAAGCTGGTAAGATCAGAGCGAATGCTTGAATTGACCGAGTCGGTGAAAATCGAAAAAATGTGGCACACGATCGAAAACTTGAAAACCTTCATATTTTGCGCAGAGATACCTTATAGTGAACTTAGAAACATGGTAAAGTTTTTTTTCCCAGACTTGCTTCTTTATCCTAGAAATTTCACGAAAACTGAAACGAGCGTCGGTAGCCTTAAAATGGCCGAAATCAGTACCCTGAGTAGAGGCAAATGAACTTTGGTTATGAAAAGTGAAAAAGAAAGCAAGCTCCTATCAATTTGACAAATGTGTATAGGAGGGATTGAGGTATGACTTAAGTCTAAATCGGGACCGTTTCATTTAATTTTGACATGTCCGAACGCTTTAAAAATTCACCAATATTTCAAAATRCAAATATCGCATTTTGTAGCAAATTTTCAAACTGTTCATTTTCACCATGCGGTATAAGTAAGAATCGCTTCAGAGCTAATGATAAGTGGAAATAGTGTTGTTTTCGAGGATATAGAAATTAATTTGGGGCTTTTCATTCCCGCACGGAAAAACCAGGCTGAACTTTGTGAAAATCGCAACATCGCCATTTACGTTACGACATAATCTAATTAGGCACCCCGCGGTTAAATCCGGAATTCCAAGCACATTTTAAAAGTTAGCACCGTGGTCGATCAGGGAATCAATACAGTAAGCTAGCCTTGCATAGCAAACCACGACAGGTTGGTTTTTATCTCTGCTTTCGTTTCAAATTCTCATCCATATCCCATGGCGGAATTGTTTACAATAACACATTCCTTAAGCTAGCGCAGGGCGTCTGTTTTTCTTTGCGTACTCGAACACCTATAAGTCTTAAGAAAGTTGTGGGGTAAACTTGAGCGTCTTTGTGACTTGAAAGGGGACAGGTCAATCATTTATAACGGCAGGTCAAATGTTCTTTGCCGAAGACGTTGAAGACGGGAAGCAATTTACTACTCTACACCAAGGAACATTCGCGAACTTTCTATTAATTCATCTGACGTCCATACATATAACACGCGTTTTTCTTCCACAGAGAATTTTTATGTACAGAAGTCTAGATTGCATGCGAAATTTAAGTCTTTCTCTGCGTTTGGTACGAGGTTATGGAACTGTCTAAACCCTGACTTGTGTAAACTCACGAAAAGAGCATTTAAAAGGAAAATTCATAAGTTGCTTTTGACTTTACTTGGGATTGAGAACTATTATGTTGACGCCCACTCACTGATACTGAAATTCAATACCAATGATTATCGAATATTATAACTGTAGTACTTCGCTCACATCCGCATTTCACAATTCTCTCCTCTCTACTTTCCAGTCTGCTCTGCCCGTATTTGATTATTATGTCTTGTTTTAACTCACTGGTAATTTTATTGTATTTAATTTGTGACAACTGTACGTATCTTTTAGCTTATAATGTAGTAAACTAATGCATGGCCTATAACCCCAATAATATTGTAGTAACGAAATCTCTTTAGTTTATTGTAAAATCTCTTTAGTTTATTGTGGTAATGAAACTTCTTTAGCTTGCAATGTGTAGTATTTACTTATTTATTACTAATACCCGCCAAGATTAGGTAATGCTATATGCGGGTTGTGTAAATTTTCTTGTAATGTTCCATATTATTATGAATTCAACATACTCAAGCGTTTTTCCCGCAAGGTCGAAATATTTACAATCACCAAAACACATTGGATTGTTCCTTTCTTGGGGTTTTTTCGGCCGCGAGAATAACATCTTTAAAAAACGTGTTCATTAGATAAATACTGAATATGTTACCTCGGAAGAGTGTTTCACTGAAAAGTAGAAATACAACTGTAGGAGGACTCCACCCCACCCCCTCCCCCGTTGAAAACCCATATGTCAACTATTTTTAACGGAAAATCGCTAGACTCAGTCGTGAGTGAAATAAGACACTGTGGCACGCTTTTTCTCGGTGATTATCATCAAACAGATGACATCGTTAGGTGGAGGGATGCTGAAAGTATTATGCTAGAGTAAAAAATGATGCGACAATCAATTCAAAGCTTCAACATCGCCTCCCTTCAGGAATTCTAACTATAGAAGATTGGTTCCAGCCCCCCCTGTTCAAATGCCAAAAAAAAAATTGAAAAGATTTTGACAGTGAGTCCTAAAAATAATTTAACCGTAAAAAATTAGCATTAGCCATATAAAATAGCCGAAAAATGTAACCGCTAGCAGTGAAAGCCATCTTTCCATTAACACCCTCCTTACATTGTCACATGTTTTGTAAAAGGCACGATCAGCAATTGATTTGACTACTCAAGCTCCAAAACCTAGACCTTATAGACCCTATATTCTGAGCCATCCGCTTTAAGTACCTCCTTGGTAAAAGGTAAACCACCAGTATTCCACTGGAAAGACTTGACGCTTCCGATTCAAATTCCCCACACCACCCAGGTAAGGTTCAAAGGACGACAGTCAAAAGCCTGTGGGTTGCCCAGGATGTTGAAGCTGTGATTAATCGGTGTATAACGTCACTGACACTGATTCAACATTTTTTGAACGTCAAAATCTAAAAAGAGGAATGTCAAATAGTAAGCTAAGCAAAACTAATTCGATCGAGTTAACAACCACACCTATAAAAATAAAACAATTTGTGATCATGTGCGACTTTCTCTACAACGAATTTCTGTCAGAAAAACGCAAGCACGAGGTAAAAAGTTGCAAGGACAGGTATTTTCAAACAAAAAGGCATGGAAATACCTCAAGCCTGAAGGTTATAACAACTTACTATATGGCAGGACAGTCTTGAGGTAAATCCGAGCATTCTGATTAGTTCTTACTTGGTCTGAATTTTGCCATACGGACCATTTCCCCGGAAGCCGTATATTTTTGTCCGCGAAGGCCGAGAAATTAAAATTAAAGAAGTTTACCCGAACGCCATGATAAAATACTTAGTAACATCAATTGCTTGAGCTATATTGGGAAATATTGGCCCTCGGTATTTTTGTACGGACCTCCCCGCGCTCGCTCTATACTACCCATACTACTGCGCTCGCTCCATACTATCTGATTGCTGGAAAGTGTGTTAAGAATTGGCGCTCGATCTAAAATTAAATCTATTTCGGCCTCAACATCGGTATTGCCGACAGTCTTTAAGTGTTCAGAAATGACTTTACGGCACGGCATTAGCTGAACTAGTATTAGCTGAAATATCACAGATCAAAAGAATTATACCTTTTTCTCGACTTAGTTGTTTTAATTTGAGAACAGTTTCCAGCCCAAGCAATTTACGTGAGTTCTGTAACCAGAACTCTCAATTTGGAAAGAACGTTCTTCACTCAGCTAATATTCTTTGTTTGTAGTAGTGATTTCAAATGGCACATTGTTTATCATACATTTATCCTCAGGTATAGTTCACCCTATCTATTTCATTCTGATTCCAGCTCCATACTTGGTATTCTTCTCCTATTCCAATCATTTCGTACTTTGCCTGTGTTTCACCTTTACTCTGACTTTGATTCTTTCCCTAATATTTTTTCTGTAGCTATTTGTTGTTTTTGTTCTGCTTATTCTCTTCTAGGTAATGTCACCAACTCTACATGAAATCCCCGCTGCGAAGTTAATAAGTTTCACAGCAATGACTACCTGATAAGAAAAATTATCATGTAAACAATTTTGTTAAAAAAAACGCTATTCATCGATATTCGTGGCCGTAGAATTACAAGGTTGGGAACAAGATTGAAATAATTTCAACTTTGCGTGACAAATGCTTGAGTGTGTCACATCTACACACAGATTGCTTCCCGTCTTCAACGTCTTCGGCAAAGAACATTTGACCTGCCGTTATAAATGATTGAATTGTCGTCTTTCAAGTCCACAATGAAGCACAAGTTTACCCCGGAACTTTCTTAAGACGTAAAGGTGTTCGAATACACAAAGAAAAACAGACGCCCTCCGCTAGCTTAAGGGATGTGTTACTGTAAACAATTCGCCCAAGAGGAATGGATGAGAAGTTGAAACGAAAGCAGAGATAAAAAGCAATCTGCCGTGGTTACTATGCAAGGCTAGCTTACTGTAATGATTCCCTGATCGACCACGGTGCTAACTTCTAAAATGTGCTTGGAATTCCGGATTAACAGCGGGGTGCCTAATCAGCCTTCTGTCGTAACGTAGATGACGATGTTGCAATTTTCACAAAGTTCAGCCTGGTTTTTCCGTGCGGGAATGAAAAGCCCCAAATTAATTTTTATATACACGAAAACAACATTATTTCCACTTATCATGAGCTTAACCTGAAGCGATTCTGACTTATACCGCATGGTGAAAATGATAATTGAAAATTTGCTACAAAATGCGATATTTGGATTTTGAAATATTGGTGATTTTTAAAAGCGTTCCGTGATGTTAAAATTAAATGAAATGTCCCGTTTTAGACTTAAGCCATAGCTCAATCCCATCCATACAAATTTGTCAAATTGATACGAGCTTGCTTTCTATTGCGCTTTTCATGAGCAAAGTTCATTTGCCTCTACTCGGGGCACTGATTTCCGCCATTTTTAAGGCTACCGACGCTGTTTTCAGTTTTCGGGAATTTTCTAGGATAAAGAAGCGAGTCTGGAAAAAAAAAACTTACCACGTTTCTAAGTTCACTATAAGGCATTTGTGACTAAAATATGAGGATACCGGTACTCATTTTCGGTCGATGTGCCATCTCTCACGCGGTCTTGGAAAAAAGTCGCTCGTATATAAGTTATCAACCTCAAAGACAAATTAGATATTTCCTCTTCAAAAGGTTGCTTGTGAAATTTGACAGGTTTTTCTTTTTTTCAATTCGCATTTGAGTCAAAGTCGATTATCCTGATAAATAGAGCTTGAATCCGGCTTCAATGAGAACCTCGGGGAGAACTAGGTTAACAAGTAGGTAGTAATAATAACATGTTGCTGTTGTGTGCCAGAAGTTTACCACAAGTAAAGGATTGTAGTTTTTGCCCTTTAATTTGTGCAAAAAGGAGAATTTAATTTTTTCATAACAATACTAACATATGCACTTGCTTATATACATTTATTTATCGTTTAACGGAAAAGCTACTGATAAAGTATCCCTTGCACGTACTCAATGTCATAATGGACGCTACTACTACTACTACTACTGATCGTCTTAACAATAATTTTGTTTCCGGCTTTAAATTTGTCATGAAAAGCTGGCTAGATTTTCTGCTTCCTTGATTTTTTCCCTGGCTGGATCGAGCCTTAACTGCCAAATCTGGTGGCTTCCTCAATTTAGAGCAAAGATTTTTTTCTGAGTTCGATTACCTGTTTTTTATTATTTTCTCCTTTAGTTCATCGAGGTTCATCAAAATGAACAATTCCTCCATATCAACTCAGGGAAATGGAGAAGAACCAAACATGCAGCTATTAGAATTAATGGCGTGGAGTTCTGCTTATGGATTTGTCGATGTTATCATTCTTGTCGGCAATGTCCTCACCCTCACCGTTTTCTCTACAAACAAGAAGCTTCTTCGCATGCGTGCAAATTACTTCCTGATAAATTTGGCACTGGCGGATATGATGGTTGGTACATCGGCTATTCCAATGTACCTTTACCACCTAACTGCGGCATGGAAAAAGGGTGACAGTATCTGGAAACAAAATAGTTACAAGATTTATATGGTGGTCGATGTTTTTGTTGGTTGTGCTTCAATATTTACTCTAACAGTTATTGCTCTAGAGCGAGCTTTTTCAGTTTGTTTGCCTCATATTCATCGTCGCGTCAGAAACAAGAGCTATTTTGGACTTCTTGGCTTCATATGGTTGTTGTCTATTCTGGTCTCCTGTTTGCGATTCCTTTATGAGGAAAAGCTACTCTCAATACAGTTTTTCTTCTACTTTATGCTGGTGTCCTTTGCTGTAGCCCTCACGATAATTTGCGTCTCGTATGTGGTAATATGGTTCAAAATGAAATTTCGTTTTGCCAGAAGAGACAGCGTACATAAGCGGTCTGGTGAACATGACAAACGACTCGCTGTAATGCTTTCCACAGTAACTGTTGTATTTGTTCTAACCTGGATGCCATTTCAGGTCATAAACATTGTAACATTTTTCTGCAAGTCTTGCCAAAAAATGCCCATCGAGATCGTATATTTGGCAAAGTTTTTACACTATGGTAATTCGTGCGTTAACCCCATTATTTACTCATTCTTGGTACCCGAGTTTAGAAAGACAGTTATCAAAATTTTGAGCAAAATAAGAGCTTAATTTACATGAAAATTGATATGAATAATACATAAAACTTACTGAACGCGAAGCGATTGTTCAATTTCGACAATAAATTTCCAGTTCCTGTCTGCTAAAAAGAAAAGAAAAAAAAAAAAAAAAAGACGTGAGAAAAAGTTTTGGAAAGAGTGTCACTCGTGTAAATTTGCTGCCAGTATTGAGTTATGGGCGAGAAGAGTTCGAGAAAAAAAAAAAAAAAAAGAAGGCGTTGCTGTCCAGTGCTGAAGCAGCGGCAGACACAAAATATTGTAGGGGCGATATTTTAGTAAGTTCTAGACTAGATTCATACTTAATTAGAATGAAAAGTATTGAATGCCCATCAATTATTTTGACGGCGCGACTTCCATCAATTTTCATAGCTGGATAAAAGTTAACGTTATTGATGGTAAAAATAATTGTATTGCATATTTCTTGGCCGGTAGCTTTCCCGCTGATTACTAAAATAATTGGGAATGATATATTATATTATAGTGTCCTCTACTTTTTGAGTTTGACGAATGATCGTGGGTCGTGGGTCGTGGGTACAAGTCGTGGCTCGTGGGTGTGGGTGTGGGTGTGGGTAAAAGTCGTGGGTTTATTGCTTATCTGTGGATAGGTTATCTTGCTACAGACATTTATGCGGAGTATTCAACAACTTGAAGGCTAAATAAGAAGTTTATTGTCAACAGACACTTATCAAAGAAAAATTGTATTTCTCTTGCCTAAATGCGGTTTCGATTTACTGCTACTGCTACCATTGTATATTTTATTATCAATGGTTGAGACGGAAGGGAATTAAGCAGAAAACCGCAGTGCCGTTACAATTGTTGGGAATAGTTTTTAGAAAACAGATCCCCAGATATGACTTCTATGACTGGTGCTGAAAAGAAGAATGATGAAGAAAGTTGGCCGAAGTTGATGAAATATGGTCTTAGGTACCTGAGATAATCCTCCCTCCCTCCCTCCCTCCCTCCCCTCGGGTTGCCTTTGCTTCCCTCATTACTTTTGATAATTGAACCAACCGTTTACATGAAAATGGCGGAGTTATCACGAGGGGCGAGAAAATTCGGCAGGGCGAGCTGTCTCGCCTCAGCAGGTAGCTATGGTAACCCTAACAGGCGGAAAAACTTTTGTTTTCTTATATGAATACTTCTGTTCCCCGGCCCGAGCCAGTCAAAGCGCAGGCATCCGCGGAGAGATTGGTAAGGGGACAACTGTTACAGCTCACAACTCCAAATGAACGCTCCGTAAAGTTGTCTCAAGGGGGAAGGTTGTCTGGGGTACCCATGTACCCAGGACCATATAAATAGGCTCTTACATTGTTTTTATTTCCCCTCATGGACACAGTTAACGCCTCTCAGAAACTCAGTTGATGATGCGTATTTTCATTTCGACATTACAGTGAAATAGCCGCTTCTTAAAGATTCATGATTTTTTTCAGAGATGAAATTTTAGAAGCCCAAGATCTACAAAATACATGTATTTTGTTTTCAGTGACAGGGTCATCTTAGAACATACGATAAATGGCCTAAAACTTGTATTTGTAAGAACATGTTGGGGCCTGTTGCGTTTGGAGGAAGCTTGTTGTATACTTTGGCTGCCCTAAGAGCATTCATTGCATTAAGATAAAGACTCCGGTTGTGTGGCTGCAGCTCAACGTTTTTCTCCTTGCACTTCTTTGTTTATCATTATTACACTTGCATTTTCTCCGTATATTGAATCGAGCGAGTTAGCTCTCGTGAACTCCTCTCCCTCCCCTCCACAATCCTAAAATCATATTTTACACACCAGTGGCGGGTGTTTAAAGATTAAAAAAAAATTAACATTTCAAAAATACTTAAATAAACAACATTTTAGACGCCTGTATCGCCTTTACGTAGAGTATGGTTTCAAGAATGCCCGCAAAATGCCACAAATGACCTTTACACCGAAGAAGAATTGCATCTCAGGTGAAACAGGAGAGGTTTATTGTTTCAGTAGGTTACGTGAGTGCCGTACTAGTCGACCTATTATGCCAGTTGCCAAATTTGAGACTACATGCTGCTTTGTTGTTCATTGAAAAACCTCTCAGGGTTCTGAATGATCACGCACTATCTAATTTATTAACAAACAATCTACAGATGCTCATCGACAATTTGCTGAACATTCTTTGAATTACGAAGGCCGATGATCTTCGATCAAAACACTCAAGTCACCGATATTGCCGAACGAGTAAAGTGTTCTAAAAGTGAGGTAAGATGTAGATATTAAATGCTCCGTTCAAGTTCACTTGACAGGCAATTGTCACCTATGTTATGAGTTATGAGCGACAAAATTACGTTGGTTCTGGAACAATCATTGTAATATATCTTTGCTTGTTACTGTACATATACACTAAACTTATACCTAACGAGTCATATGTCATCTTCAATTGAGCTAGCTTAACCAGGAAATTCCATAGACACAGGAACTACATTTCACGAAGCTAAGCAACGCCAACGACGGAATCTAAATATGTCACATAAGGAGTCGGAATTTCACACTGTTTATTTCGCCTTTCAGATATTTCAAGAATTTTTCTTATCATATTGTAGAAAAAGATAATCAGCCTTCGGCTTTTCTCTCAAAGATTGGGAAGTAATCCTAAACAAAAGCAGATTTAATCCAGTTGTCTTGACAAGTTCTTTAGTTAGTGCGTCACGGTTTATGTTTGTGTACCTTCGTTTAAAACACGGGGGAGGGGAGGTACTGTACGGCTTCGTACTCGGCGGAATTAATTATAAGAGGATAGGGGTTAATTAAGTACGCTGTATTCGCCATATCTTTAAATATCGACCTTCTTTCAGAACAAACATATCATTTTCACAAAAATTTCAGAACTGTCGTTTTTCGTTTTTAAGAATCCATTTCCTCTATTGCAAATTGTTGAAATATCGCCGCTTAATTTATTGCAGAAACTGAAAGTTGCGGTTATAAATTTTTCTCAGTTCCTTTTTTGAAATTTAATATAGCTTTTGGTGAGCGCTGCGGCCAAGAATTGTCAGCAACTGAAAATTCTAAAAAGTTTTTCCTCTGCAATAATAATTAATATTGTGCATTTTCAATCTCCGCGTCCATTTTGGCGATGCTCTATCGTAAAAATATAATTTTGTGGTTTACCTCAAGCTGAAAGTAAATCTGCTTGTTGCCGTTAGCGACTCATAATATCTTCACGTACGCGTTGCCCAGTTATAAGTCGTATGAAATAACGGGATAATTTTAAAACCACGACACAGTGTGAGCTCAAACAGATAAAACTAGTCAGCAGATTAGCAAAGGTAAAACACTTTTTAAAATATTGTCCTCTTATTGGTGAAGACGCAGTCAGGTAACTGATTAAATCTGTCTTGGGAGGAAAACGGGAACTGACCGAGGCATAGATAGCCATGTTCTCATTGTTTAGCTGGTACAAAACGTTTCTTGGGGCGACTGGAAGCGAGAAAAAAGGAAGTGAGTAACTTGGAATGTGATTTTGGGCCGCTCGGCCGATATAGGCGCTCAGCTGCAAGAATGAGACAAAAATCTGTGCTTCAGGTTTGCCTCCATTGGAGAACTTAGAACGCCGGACAGACCGAAGGGTTTATATGTAGATATTTGAATAACCGAGCGTGTGAGCCGTGCTCGGGAATATTAGCTCAAGCTCGAGGCAATATGGGACGAGCCTATCGGGCTCCGTATTAAACAAATATGTGGGCTAAAGTTCCCAAGCAACGGCTCAGGAAAACTATTTATATGTAAATAATGGCAAAGGCACTTCCGAGCACTTGAATTCGAGGGGCTTCCGTAATGACGTGTTCTTTTTTTATGACGCAAGCAATCAAGAGATATCAAACTAGCACCGCGTGTCTGGGGTCAGATTTACATAACGTTATTTTATGTAGAGTGTAAACAAGCCTTCAAGAACTGTTATGAACATTTGAAATGAAAATTGTCAAAAGTCCCAACGTAAGCTTTGTTGAAATCTCATAAAGGTTTTTACAAGCCAACCGCGTATGATTCTAAACAAAAGTACGTAGCCAGAAGGTGGCCAAGTTAAAAAAAAACAGGTAGGATTTCAACTCTTACACTTGTCATGATGATTAGATTTCATAAGGCAGAGAAGCACGAAGTGATTTCATCAGAAACAGTCACCGTCTTTATTTGTCTTTACTTGTTTGTACTTGTTTGTTTTATCGTCTATGGCTCCCTGGCGTTTGCCAAGCTACGCCTGTTTCGGATCCATAAAATACAAAGTTTTCTGGTCTTTAGGATACATGCATGTATTAGTGAAGATTCGTCCTCGTTGTAAGCGTTTTTAAATATCAATGTTCAGGTAGATGGGAGTAATTGTAAGTTCCTTTCGAAAGCAGAAAAAAAAATGGTATCGCCCTCGATGAAACGATCCGAATGACAAAATGCTGACTTAGAAAGAATTGACTTTTCTCAAGACTTTTTTGCCATTTCAAAGCGAATGTTTATTCCATGAAACACGAGGTGCAGCTGAGTGGAGCACTTATGTTTATACCACATTTTGACGTATAGTTTGATTTATTGCGGAACAGACGCCATAGCATAAAGTCTATTCCTTTTATATAATTAAGAGACAAGAGATTTCAATGGTAACTTCGTCCATGCTTTTGTCCTGCGATAGATCATTAGTGAGAACCATTCAAAATTCATGTAAAGTTCATCTTGTGTAAGAAATATTTTATAAAAAAACGTAAAATTTCTATGGGTATACTAGTGCATAAAAGGATAGGATTTTGACCACTCAGAACGCTCGTTATATATAAGTATATAAGTCTTTTTTACAGTACTTGAAAAATGACATCATTTACAGAGTTCAAAGGAAAATAACTTTACCTGGTTGTTACGCTTGCAAAGATACATCCTCTCAGATAACATCTGCATGTTTGAAATTATCCCCGAATTACGACATTCCTCGTCTGGGAATCCCCTCCCGCAGGGCATGAACGATAAGCTATTTATTACTTCGTTCCCATAACTCAGTAGGTTCCCCTGGCTGGGCGGAAGGAAGAGAGACTCTGGGAATGAAATTAAAGCCACTTGCAGTTCTTAAAAGGTGGCTTCACAAATCTTTATTCGATCCCCTTGCACTGAATCTCCGCTTGGCTGATTCAGTGCGAAATTAGGAAACTAAGTGAGACGTAAATGAAAATGCACTGAGGTGCAAAGCAATTATACTTACTCAAATACATTGCAACATTTTATGGCCTAGAGTGACTAAAACGTTTCTTAAAGCATCGCCAATTGACTTAATGGTTTGTATTATCTTTTACTTCACCAGGACAAAACGCCACCATCTTAATGAACAACTCTTCTCTACAACATGAAGGCAATGAGCAAGCACCCGGTCCGTTGGTGGCGTGGAGCTTAGCATACGGATTGGTGGATGTCGTCATATTGCTTGGAAATGTCATAACGCTCCTTGTATTCTTTACGAATAAAAAGCTTTTGCGCATGCGCGCAAATTACTTTTTGATAAACCTTGCAATAGCTGATATAATGGTTGGTACGTTCGCCATACCCATGTACGTCTATCATTTTATTGCTGCGTTGTACAAGGGTGACGGTGTCTGGAAACACTTCAGCTACAAGATTTATGTATCAGTTGATGTTTTCGTCGGTTGTGCCTCAATTTTCACACTTACATTCATTGCCCTGGAACGAGCATTCTCTGTTTGTTTACCTCAAATTCACCGCCACGCGAGAGAAAAGACGTATTATGGACTTCTAGGCTCGATTTGGCTGCTCTCTATTTTAGTATTCTGTCTGCGGTTTCTGTTTGAAACAGGGGTTCTTCAATTGGAGGTTTTCTTCTATGTTTTGCTTATTGCCTTCTCCATCGCCCTCTTAATAATCTGCGTCTCTTACGTGGTAATATGGTTCAAGATGAAGTTCCGGTTTGCCAACAGAGATGGGAACAAACGTAAGAGAGAACAGGACAAGCGACTCGCCATTATCCTTTTTGCAGTTACCGTGGTTTTCGTCCTCACGTGGATGCCATTCCAGATCATAAACATTGTGGCGTTTTTCTGTGAGCCTTGTAGGATGAACATGTCAAACAACAGTGTTAATTTTGCAAAGTTCCTGCACTATGGCAACTCTTGTGTTAACCCTATAATATATTCCTTTTTGGTTCCCGAGTTTAAAAAAACTGTTTTCAGGATTTTCAGAAAACTTCGAAACAATGACGATACTAGGATTTCGACGTTCGAAATGCATTCGGCTAAAACGTAGTCATGCGCTTAATCAATCTAGGTCATCATACAAACAGATTTTACTGATGACCGAGGGAGCTGGGGCGATTAATAGCTGCAGTTTTCAGTCTTAGGTTAGCATTTCCTAAGGCCAGACTAGATGTCAAGGTGTTGATAAGTTTGTTCTTACAAGCAGTTTGCATTGTCTGATCCTCATGAAACGTCTCAAATCTTTTAATTGCCTTGCAATGCAAACTTTAACTTTCCAATCGCGCCGGTTCTTCAGAACTTCCCTCGATTTGTAAATGAGCACTTTGACGCCTTACCCTGACGTAAATGCGTCGTCGAGTGAATCGCTTGCGCCCGGCATAAAGAGAAAATTTTGCCTCAAGTTGTAGCCTTCTTTATTGAATTGTTATTCAATACTTGAAAGTTAGACTTTTAGTCTCTCTATATATCATTGCTGAAGATGTTCCTGTCCAGTTAACAAATTGAATGTATCTCATCGACTATTTTTAGCTAGGTAACGAGTGTTCCCGATGTAACTTCAATTTCGAAGGCCTGAGGAATGCTGTTGGCGGAAACATATCATGAAACTACACAAAAAATAAGGTGAAAAGAATCGTCGGAAGAACGCCGTTATACCAGAATCAGTGAAGTGAAGCGCCTAACAAGTTAATTTAATAATGAGCCTTTGTATCGACACAAAACGAGAAGACCTTTAGAGCCAACCATCATGATTTGTTCAAGATAATCGGCTGTGAGAAAAAGGGTTACTTATTATGAAACAAGGCACGAAGGCTCAGAGGTAGCATTAGCTGTTAAGTTCGTCGAAAACACATTAAGGAAAGTAAAGGTTTCGAAAATGGATTCTGATAACCTTATCTTTGTGTAAGATACATTAGGCAAATTAACACCCAACGCAATGTAAATAAAGATTGTTATAAATATGTGGGTTATGAAGCCATCTTATCGAAATGACTGATATGGTATTAATTAAAATCGGCTTATTACACTAAATTGTTAAATATGAGAATCCCTGCCGGTTTTGTATTTCTTTTCAAGTTTACCTTGCCCACTGAACTCTCAGCGGAGATTTCAGTGTTGGTTTTACAGACTGATCCTGAACTGATATTTGTTCAGAGAAGTGTCCCAACTTAAGAAAACGGACTGAACGTGTTTAGCTTATCATTCATTCAGACGGTCAGCGCTCTTAGTTACCAAGGTGACAAAACTGATGTCGTCATTCATCTAAAACTAAACGATGCGAGTTGTCCTTTTCTTCTTACCTAATTGCCCGGTGAGTGATCAGTCCCACCTATCTGAATTATTTTTACAGCGATACCGGAATTGTCTCACAGAGAAATCTGGACCGCTATCTGTCAAACCCGTGGAATACCAATGCTTGTTGCTTGATGTGCACCATTTTGGTTTTAATTTGTGAATCATTCTTTCTAACTACGTGGTAGAATGATCGGAACGGTGCAATATAAGAAGGGCTAATCACATTATTTCCTACCATAGGGCATATCAGGTGAGTGACTAAAATTTTACTTGTAAAATATGCATTGTTTTCAAAGATTATTGAGGTGATTTCGCAGTGAGATTGTTTGTTCTATTTTCAGATAGGTAATTTTTAAGAATGTCATAATCACCGAGTTGAGATGATCATAATGAGGTGCCTAGTTTTCGAAACAAGCCAAAAAACGCTTGCTCTACGGAAACATGGTTTATTACGGTCGCATCTCAAAATGAAAACTTGATATTTTGATTTATTGTTATTGAAGATTATGATTTTCCCAAAGGAAACGATGTTCTTCTGTTTAAACCCCAAGAATGTTACTTTTCCTCGAAATCTTCATTTTGTTACTTTAATGCAGTTATGGCTGTTCCGTCCGTTTTATCTGAAAGTATGATCTTCCACCTCCGCCGGTTTTATAATCAACTTAGCCAAGTAAACAATTTTTGTGAAACAAATTTACAGACTGACAACCTTCTAAAGTTAATCTAACGAACCTATCTTTACGGTTGATCACCTGATGAGTAAGTTGCATTGAGACAGGAAATGAAACAGCATTCCTGAAACGGATCAAACCGAACACTATGGTGTGACTTAGCGCGAATGTATAAGCGTAGCTGAGCAGGTAGGACATACTTTGAGGAAAAAAACATATTTTTCTCGCCAACCCCGCTATGCTAAAGTTATCGCAGGGAAGCACTTAACCAGACATCTTAGACCGAACCTTATGAAACCAGATCTATCGGTGATGAAGAAAAGATTTCAGTGATGTTTCAGCCATTGAATGCAAAAATTTGTAGATACATCTTGGATAAGTTTATATTCAAACATAAACTGACGTTTCAATTGACCTCATACCTCGCCCTCACCCCCACTTTTCACTCTCTTGAATCAAGAAAAGAAAGTAAACTCTCGTGATACAATGTTTCGGCCTCGATTGTTATCGTTTTTGCCACGTTCATTGTTTCTCACATTTTATTCTTTCGAGGATAACAGATTCTTTCATATTTTTCTCTTTAAGAATGATAATAAAAATAATGATGATAATAATGATGGTTGAGTCTTCGTCGTTCTGTCGTTTGACTTCGACTGACTCAGTGGCCCTAGAAGCTATGCTTTTGACGACAACACAACATACTTTTCTGTTCGCCACTAGTCAATACTACAGGGAATCGGACATTCTTATCAGTTAAACGTGCGTGGTGTCATCCATGTCCAGCTTACATTTTGTGGGATGTTTTTAATGGACCAGTGAACGGAAGATAATTTTGGAGTATCCTGTATTGTACAACAGCCCCTGGTGTTCTTCTATTTTAATCATATTAAATTTGATGTGATCCTCTACCTCAGCGGAAACTGAGCTATGCAAGAATGAGCCCAATGAAGTTAAACATATCATCACTTTGCTCTATGTTAACCTTTATAGAGAATACTCTGTTTCATTTAAATGGCAATTAGAACGACGAGGTAAAAAAAGACAAACAACAACAACAACAACAACAAAAAAATAAAAACAGGAAAACCCACTGACCGTGATACAACATCAACGGAATTTTCCAACGCGCCACGAGTTTTGCAATTCAGAGCGTAAAACTCAAAGGACAAGTTGAGAGGAAGGAGACACTTGTAAATACATGGAGGCTCGGCAAACTATCGTTAGACTTTATCACGATATCTGCGCTCCCTACACAAAGAGGCCACTAATGCGGCACTCTGCGTTACTGATACCTATAAAACGAAGAGGGATTGTTTTGCAATATAAGCTAACGTCTTAACAGAAATCTTGACTCTGTTTGTTACGTGCTTGTATGGAGCTCTGATCGCTTCAAACTGGTATCCGGGCAGAGGTTATAGACGTAAATGTTCCGTCCAAACCAAGGAGTGTCTCCGTGGAACTATGTGAATTTAATAATACGTCATCGCATCGGTCTTTGGTCTCTCTTTCATTTTAACAACTCTATTAGGTCGTGACAAAATCAGCTTAATCGGATCAAAGAGCATCGGATCAACTTTACAGAGGATCCATCTCTGTAAAACACGACGACTGCACATGTTGTCATCCAAAGTCTAATCAGCAATTTGCTAAGGCTGGATATTACTCCTTTCGATGTAACATACAGGTAGATCATTATGCACTTTGTTCTACTGAGATTTATTCGGTAAAAAAATCACTTGGTACTGCAGTTTTACAACAATACGAACCAGTTTAGAATTCTGGTAAAATTCTTTTCGATCATATCGTTTTCTGATTTATATGAGACACGTTTTGTTCAACATCTCAGCGGCAATGCAACTAATGATTTTTAGATTAACAAAGTACGGAATTGATATGTTTCACATAACAACCGCACGTTACTAAAGTGTTGATGATTTGACTATTGAACTGTCTGGAATAATCGTATATCTCCATCATGCAAAAGACAATTCTTGAAAGTCATCTATTGACCGAATGCGGATTTCCGCCTATCTTTGAGCATTATTGTGGCCAATCGAATGCATAAAATGGAACAACAGAGTCATTCGAGAAAATAATAATGATTGAGATTAACGGAGAGCATTGAGTTGTTCCATCTCGTCGTTGTAATGAGCAAGAATACTTCTGCTTTGGTGTAAGTTACCTATAATCAATTTTCAAAGCCTTTGACGGTCAAGATCCTTATAACTGATTTACACTGATTGATCCAATTTGGTCCTACGCTCAGTAAACAGTCTGAGTTGGTTAAAAGCCCATCTTTCTTAACTGTTTTATTAGTTCTCCATGCTTGCTTCTGATTATAAGCCTCACTGCCATTATAATTTTTTTTGCAGAATGAACGTGTCAAACACAAACAACACGCAGAGAGATTGGAAACCAAGTACCCCAATTTACGAAGTGATCTTATGGTGCATAATATACAGCCTCACAGCAGTTGGCATAATCTGCGCCAACGTGTTCGCCGTTTACGTTTTCACAATGAAGAGGCTGCTACGTAAGAGGAGCAATATTCTCCTATTGAATTTAGCCACCGCTGACTTGATGGTTGGAGGAATTGCCTTCCCAATGTACATTTATATTTTCTATAACTCGCACAAAAGCTTCTTATGGAAAGACATGATCGCGAACCATGTGTACCTCGGTGTGGACATCTTTTCAGGATTATCCTCTATGTTTATTTTAGCAGTTATTGCCTTGGAAAGGGCATATTCTGTCTACCGACCCCTCAAGCACCGCTGTGTTTCTAGGAGGTCAAGGCTCTATTGGTCGTCTGCAGCTTGTGTGTGGATGACTTCCGGAGTCCTTACTTCCCTGAAGATTCTAACATCGCTCGGAGTTGTATCTTCTTCATATGACAAACATGTTATTTTCATGTTCGTCTCCATCGCCTTGGTGACCATAATGGCTGCCCATGCTTCTATCTGGACCAAGATCACAATACGAAAAGAAAACCTCGATTTTATAGTCAAAGAGAAGTCCGTTGCCCTTGCCATGCTATTAGTTACTGTCGCCTTTATTGTGATGTGGCTTCCATTTTATTTGTTAAATGTAATTTACAGTTTTGATCAAACAGTTCTGAAATCCGTCCCCTTAAATTTTTTTTACTTTGCTAAACTATTGCAATATGGAAACTCCGTCGTGAATCCAGTTATATACACTTTGAAGCTTCCGCAATTCCGTAGGGCTTTGCGAAGATTACAAAGCTTCAAAACTTCTACAAAGACAGACAGAGAAGTACCACTGTAATTGCACGAGTCTCTTACTTGAGATGACTCAGTAAGATATAATCTAAAACGTTAATCCCGCCCTTATGTAGGTTGAGTAGGAATCCTACAGAGAGTACATTTCTTGGTCTTGTTTAACCTATTACGAGATTCATTAATCCGTTCAATTGATTGTATATTTGAAAAATTCAGTTTCGGAATTTAACACCCTTTTCGCTCGTGAGCATGTTGCTGGGACCAGACAGCTTTTAGATAGTTAGCCCTTCGCTCCGACGAAGGGCTAACGCTCGAAACGTCAGCTTTTATAATCGTAACGGTGGCCAATTTACCATTTCAACTTTGTTGATATATTCAAATTATTTCGTTACCCCCACCGACGCAGTCCCAAACAGTTTCTTTAGAAACTATCAGCCTTTATTCAGCTTTTAGATAGCTCTCCCAATGTGCATATCACGTATTAACGACATGCAGCTCGTATTCATTGCATCAAAAAGCGTTGGCCAGAAACCTTTTAACTACGGTGCAAACTACATTTAGCTTGGTGTTCGCGTTAAATCTTCGAAAAGAGGCTCTGGGTCCAAATCATTTCAATGTGGGTAATCTTGTGTATTATTCTTGTATTGTTTACTAATCTTGGATAGCACGACAAAACAAACAAACATGGATCGTTCCTAAACATTATGTAAACTGTTTACAATTTTTTGTTCCATTTCTATAGACAAATTGATGACGGTTCGCAACTTTGTTATCTTAGCCTCCCCCTCGATACCATCGAACCTGTACTTTACCAGCACCATATTTACCTGTCAGCTATCAAAGTCCCGAATTTGTTTTAGTTAAATCACTGTACTTGTCACTTCTATTCAGCGGTCATCTTTATTAAGCGGTAGGGGTCACCTTTCTCTGCGGCCCAACGATCTGTTTGCATTGTCTTCCACCTACATTGAAAGGTCACTTAAAGTGAACCCCCAAATTAAACTAAGACAAATCTAATCTAGGTTTATCTTCCTAAATCAACTTGAGCAGTGTTTTTGAGCGTGTTTCTGGACACCAACTGGTCAGTTGCGACATGAAGTGGTGTTTGTTATCGTTTTACAATACCTCTATTCTGTGGAACCTGTTAGCTTTAAGTGGACACTTTGAGACGGTTTAGATACACTGAGCCGCTGACCTCATTGACTGTTTTTCCTTTTTTCTTTGTTGATGAGTTCGAGGAGAAAAGCACACGGCACGTTTGTATTTCGTTTTCCCTTAGTTTATTACTTTCTCCGTTATCTGGGTACGAAATACTGAATCGTTCTTTTGTTCGTTGGATAAATTGTTTGCTAGTTAATTATTTGTTAGTTTGAATGAAACAACGATACAATTCAACGCATGTCAAGAGTTTGGTTGTCCTTGATAACGGAGTAGAGACATTGGGTCTCTACAGAACCTCTATCAAGCGGTCAATTCGCCATTCTCCGCGTGTGACCGCTTTATAAGGGTCTTAGACTGTATTTACTGAAGCAAGGCATGCTACGTGGTGGTACAATATTATAGCTTCCACTTGTCTACATGTTGTTAACATTTCTGTCATCAAGGTTACTGGAGTGATTTAGCTCTTCCAAGAAAGACCGGATTCTAGAAAGGAATGCTCCTTTACACTCGCCATCTTTTTGGTGAGAAAACATCGCACTCGGTCCGGTTTTCTTTCACAAGACCGTTGATACTGTTTACTTACTTATACATAGATCAGGAAATTTGTTCAAACGAATGTCGATAAAACGAAGCCGGTTTTTAGAATGAATGTCGATAAAAAAGAATCGGTAAAACAAATGATAATATAACGAATTTCAGTACAACCAATGTCTAACTATTAAAACGTAATTGAAATCGGAAAAAAACCAGTGTCCGACTAATAAAACAAATGCTGTGTAAAGTAAACAGAATGTCGAACTTGAAAGACGAGCAGAGCAGTTGAATTTTGATAATAAAAACGCGCCATCGAAATAAACACACTACACGGTGCTTCTGTCAAGAATCACAAGGCGTTTATTTGCTTGAATTAGCTGTAGTTTCTTTAAAGTTTCTTGTTTGAAGTTTCTGGCAGGTTTCACCTCGGCACCCGGTGCGTATTTTTGGTCGATTGCTCCCGGAACAATCGACCACAACGAACTTCAAAATATTTTATATGCGTTAAAGTCATTTTTTTTTCTTCAACGACTGCAGTGATTGCCATTAAGAGGAACTCCCTCCGTGGTGTTGTGCATCAACTAATCCAAAGGGCATAATGTAAAATCGTTCTACAACAGGCCCTCTGCACCACGTCCATAACGAAGAAAGATAAATGCAGTTACTATCTTTTTCCTGATTTAGATATCCAATGTCCAAATTTACTCTCCAGCAAGTTTTTTATTTTATTTTTTTTTTTATTACCGTGCGATCGCTAGCCTCTGATTAAAAGAAAAACGAAAAGTTTGACTGACAGTGATTTGAAAACGTCAATTACCTTCTAACGAGAATTGTTTTGATGTTAAATTAAATGCAAAACATGTCATCCCCACCTGTTCATGCCTTTGTCTGAATAACACACTGCTCCGTAAAAAAAAAAAATAATTTCAACGAATTCTAAATTCAATAATTTATTGAAGGGTTACTGAGAAACGAAGTATCAAATTTGGCGTGAATTCGGTAACAAATAGCCGCGTTAAAGTTACAATTGGCAATTTGCTTAAATATCACGCTGCTTTTCTCTGGCTTCCAACTAGACAGAAAAAAAAAAAAACAATAATGATAAAATTGTTATTGTAACATTGTTTCGCTCGATTGCTTGGACATGATTGGTTTTTTAAAAATAAAAGTTATTTTGACTGGTTGATCAACAATTGCTGCGATCATTTCATCAAAAATATCAGACTTTTTTTTCTTTTTATTTTGGAGAACTAAAGCATATGGCATACTTTTCTTCGAAACACCAAAAATATGCTATGGTGAGTTTTTGCATGCAAAAAGGTTCGTCGACCCGAATTCTCTAATAAAAACTGCACAGGACGAAGAACATTTGATTAAAGTTTTGATTGTCAAAGGAAGGGATGGATTGGCAAAGCAAAATAGTTACGGAAATGTTGACATGGAAAAAATAAACATAAAGATATTAAACTTATTAGTTTATCACAATACACTCTCTTGATACGAGAGCGGTGTGCCAATTTGACGACGAAATAGAAGTCTTTGCTACTTATCAGGCCATAACACCTGCAAATCCAATTGCCAAATTTGCTTTTAGTCAAAATGTGAAGAGGTGATGCACTTTACTAGCCTTTCAAACAGCGCATTTAAGCCGAAAATTTTTTCGTTGTTATTTTTAACTACAGCTAACACACATACAATAACAGGGTTTTAGCTTGTGTTAATGGAAGCATGCCGCTGTGATGAAAGGACACCTAAAGGCGCTTTAGTCATCGCAGATACAGTGAAAAAAACATCACTGAAACACGGTCTCATCTCTCGAACTAATTTCACCCAGGTATGTAAATATACATTTGTTGTGAGATTGCAGTCTTCCAATAATAACGAGTTCAATGTACACTTTCACGCTTTTGATAATAAGAATTTCATTTTTTCTTTACCCACAATCCCCCGCTGTTACGGTTAATAGAGAAATATTTAAGGAATACATTTGCCGCAGTGTTGCTAAGTTAGTTCGTAAGACGTTACCGCGTGAGCCAAACAATAAAGCACAGATGGAAACAGCTGTTCCAGTAATGTGCGAGTGAACTCCGCTTAACGGATTGATCGTCTCTGGTGCCTTTCAGATTGAAGTTCGATATTAACTTGAAGAGTTCGTGTTTGGTTTGCAAGGCGAAATTTGCATCATCCATTTAAATACGGTCAGTATTTGGCTTGTTCATTTACACTTCCTTCGAGAGAATATTTTGAGGCGAGAACTAAAATATCAGAATGCATTGTTCATCTCCTTTATTCCTGTTATCTAAGCTTTGACACGGTTGGTGAGGAAATCGATGTATAAGAACAGCTTTGGACAATTGGAACAAGTGAAGGAGAGTTGTGAACGCGGGGTAAGACACAAATAAGACTGAACTTATCGCCGCTTGTTCCGGCAAACCCCAAAATAGACAGAGACAATTGACGTTTATGAAAAATGTTTGGAACACGTCGACAAAATAACTCATTTAATGTAATGAATACCACTAATCTGTGTTTCATTCAAATTTGTTCCACACTTATGTTTTGGCTCGGTTTGGTTATGGTTCCTTCGTTGGACATGAACCGTGAATTTATAAACAGCGAGAACTTATGTTAAGGCTAAATCGTCAAGAGATAAGCTCATCATTGAGTTACTCATATCAAGCTCAAGATAAATTTGTCTGTAGCTTCTAATTTTTTACACGAGTCTAGCAATTTCGAGTCTTATCTTAGTCCACAAATGGTTATTGAAAAACGAGAAAAACAAAATACACTAAATTGCCTTGTTTCAACTCGTCATTTGACGATCTTTGCCTTATTATGAAAGCAATCAGTATCTGCTCAAATCTTCATTGGGCAAAATATGAATTTCTTTTCAACATTAGCCCCCTAATATAAATTCCGCAGTTTTGCTTTCTATGGACATTTTTAATTGCTAAAACTTTCCTCGGGTAACCAATGTATTTTGCCACCCCATAAATCATGTATTGTTTATATTTTTCATAACAACTTGACTAAGATTTACGATGTTATTCACGTTGAAAATTTGCATAAATCTTTCCTCTGTTAAAAATCGATTAATTTCAAGAAAGAATATTACCAGAGTGAAAGGTTAAATCTGTGCTTTGTAATGAATCAAAAGCAGGCAAATTTATTTACATTAGTCTTGCAACCTCAAAACATAGGGCTCACCCCTGTTAGAAGCCGGTGAAAATAGTCAATACTTTATTATCAAACAATTCTGCAACAGCATATCGTTCTATTGATAAAAACACACAGTCTTCGTAAGTGGAGGTTGTCACAATTGTTAGTCGCTACGCATAATGTTTCAATCACCAACATCTTCAAAATTTCGTTTGAAAATCGTGGTTTTTTCTTTGTTAAAAGCGGAAACTACAGATTCACAATATTTATATTTAAATGATATTTGATTTGATGTGCTGTATGCTATATTCAAACCAAATGATGTTCTCGAAATAAAATTTGTTTTTGCCATCTGCTTCAACAAAAGGGCCAAGGGAGCACACTAAAGAGTTTTTTCGCGATCTGATTCTGAAAATCTTAGCCTTGTTGACGCACTCGATGCAGAGGAGTATAACCTAATCCTTCCTCACGGGGTGTTACAAAATTTGATGGATTCAAATTGCACGAGACTGTAAGAAAAAGCTTCAATAAAGTTAATTTATATTTTGCGTTATTGGTGACAACCAAACTCTGGTGATGCCTCAGCTGGGCAAACAAGACCATTGTAAAGCAGTAAGGCAAACCTTCGTCGCTGACATGAGCCTGAGAATGCATTTAACCAAACATATCAGTCATGCATGACATGTTCCACCCCTGTATCGTGAAATCGGTAGACATCAAGATCGGATGCTTAAACTTACCCTGACATTCAGGTCCTTTTTTAATAGAAAACAATGCCCCCCCTCCAAAAATAAAACAAATGATAAAAACGAACACCATTACTCAAACGAAATGCTTCTGAGGATGATAGCATAAGTTATCTTATGAAAAACCATAAAGCTTCCCATCACAATCGCCTACTTGCGTAACTATAACATCAATTAAGATTAAATCTTCCTCGTTATGTTTCAGGATAACAGTTCTCTCATAGAAGAATGAATGACAACACTTCAGGGCCAAGTAATTCCACCTCTGCTGAAGAAGAGAAGCAAGTCATCACTTGGTGTGTTGCATATGCACTCGTAACAGTCACTATTATAGTGAACAATGTGGCAGCCATATTGGCGTTTACAAAATCACGGCTTCTAAGAAAATTCGGAAATTATTTCCTTTTCAATCTGGCAGTGGCAGATTTGATGGTTGGGACAATTGCTCTGCCGTTGTATATACATTTAATCTACATATCACCTCCCAAAGCGCCTTTATCAACCAAACCGGGGCCTTTTCAGATTATCCAAATAGCTTTTGATGTATTTTCTGGAATGGCATCTGTCTTCATACTCACCGTTATTTCTCTGGAAAGAGTATGCGCCATATTTTGCCCTTTGCGATATCGAAGCCTTTCAAAAACAACCTATATGGTTGTTTTAGCAGAGGCATGGATTCTTTCGGGAGCTCTCACAGGAATATGGCTTTTGACAGTATTTGATTTTATCCATCACAATATCTTTGCGTATAGTTTGGCTATTTTATCTTTCACTTCGCTTACGTTGATGATAGCCTCTTATGTCGCCCTATGGCTGAAGATCAAAATCTGGAGCCGCAAAACGCAACAGCGAGCAACTGGAGAAAAAGAACGCAATTTAGCAATGGCTATCGCTATCATAACTGCAGTATTCTTATTGACCTGGTCACCATTTCATATCATGAATATCTTGATAAACTTTAAGAAATCTTTGCTAGATGGGATTCCCTATGAAGCCATCTATGTCGCAAAGTTTTTACATTATAGTAACTCGATTGTTAATCCAGTGATTTACTGTTATAAAATTTCTGAATTCAGAAGAGCACTGAAGTCCTTGATTACAAGGAAACAAAAGAAAAGAGAAACAAGAGTTTGATTCAAGTTAAGTAATGATTGTAGAATTATTATACCCACACAAAGTATTTATATCTCATAAATAATGGTAATTGAACTTCGTGTGGTCCAGTTTGGTCTGAAATCATATGAGTGATTTTGAATCACACGCATGATTTCAGACCACAATTGTATGACACGAAGTTCAATTACCCCTTTAATACACCCATTTTGAAAAAGCAAAATGTGACCGCTCAGATGCAGGATTATTCAGTCTGTACAAATGGTTTATTGATTTAGTCGTGGGCTGTTTTATAGAAAGCTGCAAAAGTTGTTTTTCACTTTCCTGCAGTTTTGTTGGTTTCTTTAAACAAGCAATTGGTTGTTGTATTTAAATAAAGCTTCCAAATTGGCCCGGAAAAGGATGCGATTTATAGCAAGAAAATGGTGTGACTCGTAAATAAATCGCACCAATGGGAGCCAATCAGATTAAAGGGATCACCTGTGATTTCAAAATAGATGTAGTAAATAAGCGAAGCGTCAATACGAGACGATTAAACCTGTTCGATCAATTCAAGGCGGTGTAACAGTAGCCTAAGTTAACCAGTAACCTTATACTCTTTGACCTTACTGCATGTGCCATAAGCACATTCCTAATCGATTCAATAAATCATAAACAAAGCTCATTTTACTCGTCGGCATCCACGCCTGGCTTCAGAAATTTATTGTCGCTTTTAGACCTGGCTTCTGGAGATTGTAACTGATTGGCTGATCCATCACACATTGTATGATAAGTTGAGTTATACACGCGTTATGATTAGTGTCTTATCTAGGATCTTTTAGAGGACAGACACAAAGATTACGTAATCATCAAAGACTCTAACAATGGGCTAAGGCTTGAAACGTCAGTTTTTGAAACTCCTTACGGTGGCCAATTAACATTATCAACACAGTTGATAAAAATAAATTACCATTAAAAATAATTTTCTTTTTTATCATAAAAAGCAAACAGGATACATGCACGTCGCCGTCGGTCTATACAGAAATAGATCACAGAAGACAACAAAATTATGACGTCATCTGTGATCCATCAGTGAACAGACGCTCATCAACATGGAATTACTGAATAGCTGCACGGCATCAGGAAATGTGTTCGTCACTCGTTAAAGAGGAAATAAGCTTCCTACCAGTGCCGAAGTCAGGAATTGGTAAAATCCAGTCTAGACTCAGCTCGAACGATATTCTTTGGTTGCTCCTTTTCCTCTGATCTTGATTTGAAGTTTGAAAGAAAAATTCGCTCGCACGCTTTCGTGGTATCGTTTAAACCATTAAGGATTATATTAAGATCATAATAGTTCAAAACTATACCTTTTGGGTGGGTCATGCCAATATATAGTTTTTACAGGGGAGGGTCACAAGCCTTACTCCGCCAAGGATTCAATTACATTCATAGTATTTAAACTCCAAACTCTAGGAGTTCGGAATTATGAACTTTGAAAGCTCTTATTTCGGTCAATCCACTTTTCAATCTTAACAAGTGGTTAATCAGACAGGTAATCTGGTTTTATTAACTGAGTTGAAAATGGAAAGAAGCCAACGTAGAGAGTTTCTGCAGCAAACGTTAAGAGGGTTAGCCCTTCGTCAAGGCGAGGTGCTAAGCCCATACCATTATTCAAAGTTCAACTTTGTATTTTAATCCCTTTGATGGAGAAAAATTCAAAGGCCGGGAATTTCACTTCAACGAGCGTGAGAGGCCAATGTACAGCTTCTTGCATTCTCCCTCGGTTGCCAAGCTAACTCCTTGTTCATACACTGCAGAATTCGAGAGCTCTTTTGTTTCATAGGCACCATATACAATAGTAGTGACATAAGAGAATGGATCGGCCAGTTGAAAAAAGAAATTCCGATCTCATAAACTTGAAAACAAAGTATTTGCTTCTCGGCTTTTAAGTGATGTAGGTACTTGCTCATGATTTGCTAAAAATCACTTTTCTCCTAATTCATAATGTTCCAGCCAAGTATGATATTACACTTGCAAGCAAGTTTATTCCTTACCAACGCCAAAAAGGAGAAATATGTAGGAATGACAACAATGATATACACTAAAGTAATAGTTGGTATGTTATTGAGTAAGTAAAATCCATCCCTTCCAGACTTCTTTTTGTTCACACGCAATAATCAATCAGATCTGTTATTTCGAGGTGATAACTATACCAACAAAGACTTCCGCTCTAAAATTAATTTTCGTTAAGGTAATTGCTCAATAAGGAGCAGTGAAAGCAATTTCCTAATGAAAAATACACATTGCCACAACAAGTGCCATACATAATTTGAATAATGGTTGTTTTCAGACGTAAAAAAAAAACTCTTGTCGTCTGTTTTTTCATTCTAGAATATGGTCGATAACAATATCAACAGTATTAGAAATAAATTGATGCCTCAAAAATCTATACGAATCAATAATATTGCACACCATAGGATAAATCCTTCTGAATGCTTATTATTGTGTAAAACAGTTCCTTGAAACAACTGTGACATCTAAACCCTCTGATTGATAACGCCCGTCACACCCGGAACTATGCTAATTAAAAGTCTCAGGACGGCATTATTTGAGTATAATTATAAAGAACTTGTAAGAACAAATAAACAGATCTAGAAATACAAACAAATATCGGCAGATTAATTAGCAACTCTTATACCTTTGATTGGCAGAGCAAAGAAACAGTTTGGTGAATCATTTTCTCGACGGATTTGATCGAGGGATTGACAGTTTTACAACTTTTTCATCCACGACACGATACGCACAACTGATTACCAACTTTTAAAGGATTATTTTTACCCTCGTATTCACAGCGGGGTATTTATTTTGTCTTTACCTATACTTCAAGTGTAATAATAGTCGTCGCTACCAGTTTGGGCGCTCAACCCAGAATGGTGCGTCTCAGTTGATCAGACTTACGCAAGGTATGTTTAGTCGCCTAGATATTGAGAGCGATAGAGTTAATCGACAGATAATACCCATTGGTAAAAACTCAATACTATGATTAATCTACTATGGCTTGCCCCGTGATATTGCCAGGTAAACAGTGCGTTTTGATACTACACATCACACGTTTGTGTAAACTACCTGGCTTCCGTTCGTTTGGAAGAAATTCGGTGAGGGAATCTTGATATTTGTTCATAACTTCTTTGTAATTCTTCCTAATCAGTTCTTTAACGATAAAACAAGCAAACTGAGCCGACACAATACTCTCAATTTCTCCGTCATTTTAGAAGGACTGTATGTATTAATTCCGAGTCGCTTCTGTCTCTACAAATTGACCAATTTTACGGATATCATATAAGTACATCGCGAGTTCACTAATCCGTGCGTATTCAGACGCTCATAGTTAACTATAATAGCTCACATGTACAGAGAAGAACACTTGGATCTACTGAAGTCTGCATCTTCTAAGGCTATTACGTAAACGAGTTCACTCTGATTTACATTGAGAACAACTTAGAAAATTACATGTTCTGAACCGGCGCTTCGATGTATGAACAAATTTGAAAAGCCTTCAATATGTGAAGGGGAAATTATTTTCTTTTCCACTGACTACAAGATTGCTTTGCCTTCTTAAGTTCCCGAGAAGCGTGGCGCCCGTTTAATTTCATGTGTGAGAGTACCCTTATGTCAAAATCCCTCCATTTGAAGTACGTGTTATCGCTGCGCTTTTTGGAACAATCTAAATATTTAACTCAATCAAATCATTCCATAATTCCACTAACATTGCCCTAAATGGTCAAATCATAATAACAAAGAGCAATATGGATTAGGAGTCCTTTAGCTCTGAAAAGGGTAAATGAACTTGATTTCTGGTAAAGAAAACGGAATACGGACATCATGATTTAGTCATGTGTTTAGTTTGGCCCACATTTAGCTCACAGTCAATTACCCGATACAAAAGCAGGCATTAAAAGGATGTATGGAAAAGCATAGTAGGAGTTATTGCTACTTGAACCCTTCAAGGATCGTAAATTTTCCTTAAATCTGTCAGTTGCTTACCTTACCGTGACTAGATTTTTGGAAATATTACCCCCTCCGGTTGTTTTCCTTGAAGGATATCAATGCTGACAGCGACAAATACTTTTAACTCTTTGGATTTAAAGCACCAGTGACATTTAACAAATACCTTCATTTCAAACAGCTCACAACACGCAAAAAAATTCTTAGTTGCCATTTGTTAATCCCTTTTGAAATCAAAGAAACAATTGGTATGTTGAATGTTCTACAAGATGCATAAATTCGAAATGCATAAAATCTACAATCTAACTGTCAAAGTAGATGAAAAGAATTAAATCAGTGTTAAATTGGCTAGAATTAAGGTTAGGGAAGATTATAAATTGTTCATAAACCATTTCCTAGTTGATCTTAAATCTTGTAGCTGAATGGTTCATTTCGCGGATCTCTTTTTTGTGGTAGATTTGATGAAATCTCTCGTAGACAATAACGCTTGCATAGCTTCAGAACTGTTGAAGGCGTAATGTTATGCCCAAAGCAAATATCTCCCAGCCTTTTTTCGACTGGACTTAGTATTGTTGGTTTCCTCCCAGTCCCCATACCACTAATGTTAAGAGACTACTGTGACCGCGCCTTAACATTTAGTAACACGAGTGTAACTCTAAATTGACAGTATCTAAATTAAACATACTTTTAGCACGTTCAAAGGAAACTACAATGTTTCGGCTGGCATTCTTGCTTGCCGAAGCCTGAAAGCTGCTGGCATCTTGGTCCATGGGGGAGATTCGACGGCGCAGATGCCAGCTTGATTCTTTCGGGCAGATAAGATTTTTATGAAATCAATACGTGGATATTATTTTAGTTATGGCTCATCAAATTTTTATACCATTCGATAAATCGTATTATCAGCAAGATACATATCCCACTTGCTTCTGGAAGCCCACTTTTAAAGAATAACAAAGGCAATTAAAAGCGACCGCAGACTTCGATAAAAAAGGCCAATTTCAATAACATTTTTTTTATTGTCTTTCAATCATCGCACATTTGATCGACCATTATTCAACCGGTTTAATTCTACGGAAATTTGCCACACAGCGAGTTATCTGTGCTGGAGATTTCGTGCTACCCGCAACGAGACATACAGACATACTTTCTGTCTGTCAGTAGACTCATTAGTACGTTCATCTTTATACGATTAATGCCTGCCCCTAAATTGCTGATATAATTTCCTCATGTTTTTTTTCCTCTCAGAAAAATCTCCCAGGTTTAAACAGAGTGTTAGGAACTACTATGAACAATCGATCAGACTACACCTTCATATGAACAATTTGTCGTTAAACTGCCATGAACCATTCAACAACAGAAAAATCTCATCCAGCAAATCATCTTCTTGTCATTGCATGGTGTATATCATATGGCATTGTAGCAGTGCTCATTATCATTGGTAACGGCCTTACCATTGCAATTTTTTCAAATAAGAAATTTCCACGGATATTCGGTGGCTACTTTTTGATGAACTTGGCTGTCGCTGATCTCATGGTGGGTTCTCTGGCTGTACCAATGTACATTTATATTGTGTGCGCCTTCAGTTATTCCTCAATTGACAGAACTCTCCTGTTCTTCCAAGAAGTTTACGTAGTTGTAGACGTCTTCACTGGTCTTGCATCTGTCTTCACCCTGGCTTGCATTGCACTGGAGAGACTTTATGGTGTTCTTTACCCAATGAGATACCGCTGGAAAAAAACCAAGTCAAGTTATATCAAGGCCATAGCCATAGTGTGGGTCATATCAGGAACAGCGTCTATTGTTTATATTTTAAGCTCTAGAAATCTTCTTTTCATTCTGCCTGGAACAACTTTCATTTATTATTTAACAATTCTGTCCGTATTGTCTGTTTTCATAATTTCTGCAGCTTACGTTACTGTTTCCGTTCGTGTTCATCTATGGAACAAAGATAAAATGGATATATGTGTTTCCAAGCAGGAGAAACGTTTGGCAACTGCGTTGTTCATAGTTACAGTTGTTTTCGTTTTGACTTGGACTCCGTTTCATGCCATGAACATTATTGCAAACTTTACAAGTACAGCTTTGGCCAGAATACCTGTAGACCTTGTTTTCTCTGCAAAGCTGCTTCACTACAGTAATTCACTGGCAAATCCTGCCATTTATTCTCTGAAAATACCCGACTTCAGAATAGCAGTCAGGCGCATGTTTTGTAAAAACTGGGTCAGAGAAACTCGGGTTTGACCATGTGGCACTGACTCTACATATTAAAGGATCGGGGAAATATTTAGCTGGGGCCTAAACCTGATGATATTTAGAAATCAACAGCTTCCTTATATCCGGGTACGGTATCACTTGTTGACGCCTGGCGAATGAAAACAAAGAAAGAGGAATATTTATTGGGGTGCTGCATACCCAAAAGAGTCAGCAAAAAGAGAAAACTGGCGCAAAGACAGTATAAAAATGATGGCAGTTTGGAACACCTCAGTCATACGACATGAGTTTCGTCTTTTAGCCAAAGGAAGAGACAACACAATAAGTGAAAAAGACCGAGCAAACGAAGCAAAGCTCTCTTCAATCAGCTTGATCCTTTTTCTTTTTTTTTATGAAAATCATTGTGCAGTTCTCGATTCATGCTCTATCCAATCTCTATGATTGAATTCTTGGGAAAACTTGAGTGGATGTTTCGTGCTTATACTGAACTTTACTGAGACAAAGGGTAAAAATAAAGTGAATATGAGAGCGTTCTTCGTAGAAATGAACATTAATTAAGCAGTAGAGAAAATAAGGCCTGAAAAAAAATCAGGCCTGTACGGGATTTGAACCCATGACCCTTGCGATGCCGATGAAGTGCTCTACCAGCTGAGCTAACAAGCCAACTGGGAGCTGTTGAGTACTGCGAAGATCGCTCCTATATTATTTTCATATATTCACAAACAATAAAACTAAAGATATCATTTGTGTGCTTCTGTTACCAAAGCCGCTCGTTATCTCGCAATGATAATTTTTCTTTTCAAAGAAACCAATTCATATTGTGAATTTTCATTGTACTGAGCGTCTTCAAAAAATATCTTAATTAATCAGTATCAGCTATAGTGTTAATAAAAAAATATAAGCGAGCCGTTCTTCTTTGTGAGAGTGTAGTCGAGGGTATTGAAATTCTATTCGGTTGATTATCTTTTTATTGGAGGGAGCTCTAGTAAAACGCTTAGTTCATTATCAAATTTAATTTCATAAAGAAAGACAAAGCGGTGGAACGCATAACTTGAAAGTGCCAGAAACGGTAGTGACTCACATTTCGACAGCAAAAGAGGAAGTTATCATCAATGACTTCCGTTTAGGGGCCGACCATTTAACTCTTGAAGGGGGGGTGGGTGATTTTGAAAAAAAATTCTTGCAAGCGCTTGTTGAAAGAAAAAAATTGCATGCAGCCCAAATGTAACAGAAAAAAAGGGCATTAGAATGAAAAAAAATATCCTGCCCAGCAGATTGCTGGAAAAAAAATTTCTTGACGACCAGAAATCACCCACCCCCACCTCAAAAGTTAAATGGTCGGCCCCTAAGGAAATAACCTCAGTCGAACAGATTCGCACGATCAACTGCTACTCCTTGGGCTGAAATAATTAGATTTTGATTGCTTATATTTTCTTTATGGCAGCTGGTTAGCCTTTTTTCCCCTTTTTGGTTCAAGCCTCAATTTTTTGAATGATGCCTCTAGGTTTATGAAAGCAAGTAGCTACAGCTTGATACACAATAATTAAATCGACGGTAATTTAACAACCTTTGGATGATATGGAGACAACTCAAACAAATTAATCCCTCTATGCTCTATGTCATCCAATAGTTGTTATTAACACAATCAGCTTTTAAAAATGTAGATCCTTTCTTCAGAAATATCTGCGCGATATCAGCAAATTTTTCAGTTGTTCTTGAGTGCCTGGCGGGTGCCCTTGTATATTTACGAGTTAACATTTGCAGCGGGAATGGGGCAGTAAAGTCCGTGAAAGAGCGATCTTTTCTCTGCTTTGTGTGTAGCTACAGTAGAACGAGAAACCTCTTGTTGCATAAAACCTTGACCATCCAAACCCCCAAAAAGTACGCAAGAAAAAAAAACACATATAATTTGTATTTTGCCCTACGGTAAAACACGTGCCGCATTAGCTTCAAGTGATTAGCATCTGTAGTCTGCAAGTGGCGGCTGATTGCGTCAAATGCTAAATCTCCCGAATAAGAGGCTGGCTGCATAGCCCATAAAGCTAAGCGACTATCAGCTAAAATCGAGTCGAATGAGAAATACAGAAACTTCATTACTTGAAGTGTAAAAGTGATCAACGCACTGTCACTTTAAAAGTCAGTCTGCCCGTGGGCAAAGATTTTTCTCGCCCACGTAAGTCGCATGTATTCGCAATTGAAAATGGATCAAGCTTGCTCAAGTTCATGGACGAGAATCCTTGCAACTCGTGGGTATTAGTAGAGTGAAAACTCAATCATCCAAGCATTTGCTGATATTGCCTCAGGCATATAACGCTTACACCGTTACGTTCACCCTTAAAGATTTTTGCTATTTCTCGCTTATTTTGACCCGTGGAAACATGAACCATCTCGCAAAGTGCGGGTGTATGCGGAGAACTGCACTCCGCAGTTGGAAAGGGTAAGCATCTTCAAACAAGTAAGGGGTGAAGGTAGTCATATAAATAACTTTTTCAGGTATTCAATTAGCCTATTGTCCACGCAGGTAAACTAACACAAAAGTATAAAAGTGGCTGAGTGATTTGCATATATGTTACGACTCGGTCGAGGGTCCATTTGAACACAAAGTGACAAGGCAAAATTTACGTGAAGTATTTTGTATATGACAATTTGGAGGATCACCCGTGCGGAGCGCAGGAGGTCTCAACTCTTCCCTTGATAAATCTGAAGGTAAAACTTATGATAACTAAATTTTCAACGCTTATCATTCTGCTTACACCGAGTCACCGCTGCGATCTGTATAATTTCTAAGGCCCGCCCGCGTTGTGCCATGGCAAGTGAAAACGATTGTGTGGTTATCATTACAATTGTTCTCACCAAAGGGATTTTATTGAATCTGGTGTTTTCTATTTATTTTACTGTGCAACTGCTATAACGTCAAGGCTGTTATCATATGAAATTGCTTGGAAACCGCAGAGTTGCCATAGATATGCCATAGTTTTCTAGGTCCGTTTAAATCGTATTTTTTCTTGTAACTTTATGTAGACGATATATACATGTTTGCTTTTATTTGAACTTATTTTATAGCCTTTAAGGTAGGACGAGGTACAAAACATGACGCAAAATGATGCAGCAAATTACATGTTTAGGATCAACGTCTTTTCAATAAATAACCAAAACAGACCAAGATAGACAAATGACCTGCAGGGTTTTATATTAGCGGAATATGCCAGGTATCATGAGAGTGGGATATTTTGAACACACGTAAAACCTCTTAAACGAAAACCACGATCGGTCTATTATGGCAAAATTCACGCCACGTACAACTGCTTCATATGCATGAGTTGCGTTTGTTTTCAAAATAGAACGACCCGATTGACTGTTTGTATTTTTGCTTCCATAACGTTAAAACATTTCTCCGAAAGTACAACGACGGATTAGTTTAATACAGATCTTTACAGAAATTAAATTCATCAAAGTTGGTAAATAGTTTACAAGTTTTTGATACCAAAGTAATAAAAGGTGAAAACGTCTGTGACCTGTAGACTTCTAGCATCGTCGTTAGAATGGATAATTATTCCTAAAAAAAAAAGTAAAAACAAATTAATACTAACACTACTGATGAAACCAAATCTTCATTTAGAAGTGCTATGTATCACATGGCTAAAGGGTGATGTACCGTTTGCTTATTGAAAGTGAATACTCAAAAGCATTGTATTTACCATGATTAGTCTCTTTGAATGGTTTAGTATTTCAATCAAGTTTGCATTTTTATCAGCGCTGCGGACGTGAAATCATGAATCATTTCCGGACAAAGAAGCTAAAACGCGTGTTTACGAAGTAGTACGCAGAGCGCAAGGACACATAAACAGTCACCTTTTATTCCGCACTGAATGTTCTCGCAAACTGTTATTGTCTGTTTACAATTTGTAAGTTTATAACAGGCGACATTCATAAAAGCCTGCATCTTTTTCGTAATTGCATAATAATAGCAGTGAATGAATGGTATTTTGTCGACATACTAAATTTTTCCGGGAACTGTTTCCTGGAACTAATTTTCTTCATAACGAAGATTGTAACTAAAATTGCTAACACCACACACTCGAATCTTAAAACGTCAGGTTCTAGAAGAAGACCCAAGACCTCAATTAAATATTCATGGATGATCGGTTCACTTCTGCATCCAAGCTTCGTCGATCGAAGATTCCAGTCGTGTTTTTAATTTCGTTCTGCCACTCTATTGTTAAATTCCAGCACGTAGCAAGTACATTTCATTTTCCGACGTTAGAGCTTTAATGCGTTTTCAAAAGTTTCTCTTACGAATGGAACATGTGTATTTACTACAAAGACGTTTGCAAATATCCGGGGTTGTGGCGATATTATTTTCGAAGTTTGATAAAACCTCTCTTTAGGAGAAATTACATAGTTCATGACAACAAGTACTTGGAAAAAATAAAATTTTTCTTTATTTGTGCCATCCTTAGTGCTTGATTTAGACAACGTTATATTTGGCGGAAAGGGATCAACGTTGCTCACGATAATAGGTTACGAACATGTCATTGAATAAGTCATCTCAACAGTAAACAAAGAAATCCTATGTCGAGTGAAATTTGCATTTTTAATGTTCTTTGGAAAACCGCAAGACTGATGATAAGCTAACATAGCGTCCAGAAACATCGCTCTGGATAAATCATGTAGTTCTCTTACAATAAATCTTTCCTTGTACATGCGGGTTTTGGAGAAATTAAGATGGCTTCCTGATGATCTCAGTTTTTTCAATCTGTGAATTATTTTGGTTATGATGGCGTTCCGCAGTCAAGGATTTTTCTCCGTTGGTTTCGACCGGAAAAGGAAACGAGCAAAGTTTGCTTCACAAGCGTACACTTCACTTAGTCTCTGACTAATAAGAGTCCATCATTTGTAGTACCTCAAAACGGATTGCAGCCACTAGTTATATCATATAACCTGAGAGAAGAGTTGACGAATTTTAACGTGGACTGAAAATTGCTTGTGTTTTCTCCAGAACTGGTGAGTATCGCAGAGACTTCGTTATTTCAAGCAAACAGTTTACCGCAGAACGAACGGGAAAAACGAGAATTTGAAAACAAATCTTTCAAATTTAATTTAAATATTTTCATTGAAGTTCACAGACAGCTTAAAGCATGCGAAGGGGAATTCACATTTTTTTTGCCGTTTGGATCATCCTCTTCATTATTCTTATCCTTTTGATCGAATTCTCTCTTAGAAAATCCAGAAACAAAAACGCCTTATCTGTTTACGTATTCTTATTTAATTTTTTTGTTGTAAAAGCCATTGACCACCGTGGGCTATCTGAGTGTTGCATCAAACCAATTTAATACAAACGGAATAAAGAACTCTCTCCATTTTCATAGACTGAAAATAGCGGGAACGTAGGCGACCCGCCACTCAGCGACGCCGAGCTTACATGCAGTTGAAATTTCGTTTTGTGTGGCGGTTTCAAAACAGCGAATGTAAATTTGATGGACCTCTGGTGATAAATATGATTACATTGCAGCAGCTTATTTTTCCTGATTTTTAACTGCTGCTGTAAGCCAGATTTTCTGGTGCGCTTCTATCCTCGTACCAAAATAACTGAGTGTCATTATGACTCGCAGGCGGATTAGATTGTACGTGTGACATACCTTTTTAAATACTTCACAATGGTATTTTTTTATGTAAATTTCTAAGCATCTCTCTTTTTTTCTCTTTCTTAAGAAGATAACAGATCATCATATAAATATATTTTAAGAATAAATACAGTAAAATTTTTTGATCATATAATAGCACTGAAGATCTCTTCGCAAATTTGGTTTAAACACCGGAGATGATCGTATTTTCAAAAGTTTAATCAAGAAAATAACATCGGATGAAAAATGTTTAGGGATTGTGTTCACTTGCAACTGAAAATAGAACTCTTGGCAAATACAACATGTAGAGAATAAAATTGTAGTTGGCGTAGCAAATGATCTTTTTCGGCAAACCGCCCAAGGCGACCGCGGGAAAATTGGACAAGATAAGTTCATTTTAATGTCGATGCATCTAAATGAAAACAGGCAATGAATTAGGATGCCGCGCATAAAAGACTGGTCCAGTTTCCATCAAAATTTAAACAATAACGAGGGATATTGAAGAAGAAATTCCAAACAGGATCGATAATATATTTTTCTTGCGCTTTTTTTTAATGCACCTGTTGGTAATTTATATATGTTCACGAACGAATTCTGTAGAGTTTTTTTTGTGATATTATAGAGAGTGACTGCAATTTCATATGATTTTAAAACGCTGCTGAAAAACAAATTTTCTTGAATTTTAACTGCGAACGCCTACAAAAATCAAATTAAGATCCATTTTAATCTCGGCTAAAGGTTCAAGAAGATTATTTTTACTCAAAAGCTACTGAATAAATAAGTGAGGTACTGATGAGAAAGATTGTCGTTAATTTTGCATGCAGGACGCATCGGTCAAATCATAGCCTTCAGCTATTCTATGAAAGCTTTATTTAATAAAACAGGGCAGTCCATCCATTTTTTTAACATAAGAATGTTCTTTTTTTTTAATCGGTTCATAATGATAAACGTGACAGGTGCCTAGGACGAACAAAACTTTCTCAAATAACAGCTACGGCCCACGCTTTTGCGAGATTTAATCAGTTGTTCGAGTTGGAAATATCCTGAAATCAATCTTCTTTATCGGTTTAAAGATGTTAACCATATAAACTAAAGAGCTTAACCGAAGACTTCGATTGTGTACGCTTCTCAAGTCGTTTGGTCCAATTGAAAAAGATGTTGTATAATTTTCCCCAATCTTAAGGTAATTTAGATCAGATACCAAGTTCCTCAAAAGAAAACGATCTTGTGCAGTTTTATCCCGTTTATAAAAGGCAATCTCTAATTGGCCAAATTTAAGTTTGGTAGAATACTCATAAATATTTCAGTGCCCTATATTTTAGTTTGTAATATTGTTTTCTTTTTGATGAAGTGCTTGTTGCCTATCAATAACTACTTGTAAAACGACGTATTTAGATGGTTTGGCTGCGTATTAACCTAAAAAAATCAATGATAACGGCGTGTTTCTCAGGCAAAAACACAAAAAGAATGAAAGCAGGGGAAAAATTAAAGGGTAATAAGCACGAAAATAGATGAGACAAGACTGAAAACGCAACGATTTAGGCACAGGCAGGCCGCCCATCGTGGCTGTTGACATGCATGTACGAAAAGAACTGTGGGAATAAAAAAAAAAAACATGCGTGAGTTTTGAATAAAGCACTGAATAATGCAAATATTACATCTGATGCATCATTTCTGGCTAAAAAAATAAATCAAATAAAGTTTCTTCCTTTCACACATAGAAGCAACATCAACTCCCGTACTTTTATCTTAACAAACAAACAGACAAATATTCAAATGATGCGCATCAGTGGAAAAACGTTTACTTTACTTAAGGTAGCCTAGATATTTTGATCGAGATGAGCGTATATCAATATCATTCAGGACTGTCTTCATAACCGTCACTGGTTTCTTTTCTCTTGATGTTCGCAGACTGACTCACATTTAGGAACACGCAGGGTGGTGGCTCGCCTGTGGCCTTCGAGTCAAGCCCGCTCTCTAAAGATTAACAACTCAAATCTCGAAACAATGCAAGGTTAATCTTTAAGAGGACACATAGGAGAACTTTTTTTTTAAATCGGATCAAATGAACCGAATCTGTCACGTAATCACCCAGTTCCTGCTTTAGCAAAGAACGGCCATCGCTGAACTACTCTGTTATGTAAGATGAAACAGAATTTCCGTTAAAGCGTTAGATTCACGAGAGGACATGTTGGATTGGTAAGTTGAACTCGCTCATTGACCCACTGAAAGTTTGGACAAACGTGAAATTCTCCAGATTGTGTTATTTATCAAGCTACAGCTGTCGATACATGGCGGTGTACTGTTCTATAAAAAGCTAAGCGTGCGCATCACACGATCGATCTTAGCAAACGAATGATATTTTCCTCAATCAAAGATCTTGTTCGATGCAGTTCACCCTCCTCCTGTTTGCTATCGCAATTATCGAATCATCGAGTGAGCCTTGAGGCTGTTTCGGTGGACTGCGCTCGAGATGTCTGCATCATTTCCAACGAGTGAAACACGAGATGAAAACACGGTACGGCCGAATATTGATAATGTCTTCGCTTATGGTTTACAGTATGCGACAGTATACGATTAAACATTCCTTCGAGTGTTTCGTATACTTCTCTGTCCCTTTAAAGAAAAGCTTCTGAGCTTTATAGCGATGTATCTGAAAAGCAATGTAACCAAAGCCTATTCTTTTGGCATGCGAAGACCCTTAAGACTGAATTTTCCGTAGTATTAACACGAGAGAGACGTAAATAAAGGGGCGAAATGGCTCTCACCTTTGGCCTTGAAATCATTTGTAGGCCTTGTTTTCTCGAGTCGCTTTTGCTGCTCAAGACAATCGACACGATTCTCTCTTGTTCGTAATGTTAAAAATGGACTACAAGGAGTAAATCCTAGAACGACAAATGACACTCGATGATGTGCAGACTATGATCATATGATCGATGGTGTTTTTGGACAATTTCACCCGCAGAGTTTCGATAATGAGACTGAACATATAGACGAACACACCTAGTTTATGATTAAAACTTTTACAGAAGCGTTTGGATTCCATTTGTTTTTCTGTGATTGACGGTAATGATAAAGCTTGTTTTTGAGCTGTAACACGAGATGTTAATTCGTATAAGAACTTAGCTGTAAAAATGAATTAATCGACGTTTGGTGTTGAATTTCTCCGATGTCAATGCAACTTCATACTCATCGCCAACTGGGTGTAGACTAAAACTTCGAGTTTTGACCTTACCTCCACTAGCGTAAAATGTGATCTCTGTTTTATTTACAAGAAAACACGAGTATCTAAGGCTTAAGTTTATTCAAACTCTCAAGGTCAGTAATCACTTAAATGTTTTCAAAGGAGGAACCGTGGATTACCAAGAAAATAACATAAATTCGGCGTGTCGTATATATGTTTACGAGCAGAGGGTGAAATCTGGAGAATAAATGTCATTCAAAGACAAATCGTCTTAAAAAATATAAAAAAATTTCATCCAAAATAAAATTATCCATCGAAAGTGGTGTCAAATTCAGCTCCGCGAATACGACTTTACTGCTCGATTGCGTGCTTAGGATCTGATTGTTTCGTCAATTTTATTTTGAGTAGTATTGGTTTCACGTTCAAGAAGTCAGGGTTCTTTCGTTTACATATCAGTTCACCTTATGAAAGATAGGTAATATTCTACGCTGAGAAACAAACAAACAATACAAACAGTAGTTCTATAAGAAGTGGGCCAAACTGCATCCACGTAATCAAGAAGCAGTTTATTACTATGTCTTCTTCCTGTCTGGTAAGGTTTATTTAACAGAGAAGGGACATCGCTAGAAAGCTCTTTAGAAGAAAGAGCGAAAGCGTGATCATTATTATGTTTTGACAACTTTAGAGGCTTATCAAACCACTTACATTCGCCTTACCATATTTCATTTTGCGGCTGACGGAAATGGTTACAATTTCAATCGTTTCGAACTACAAACACAAAGTATACTGACCCAGTAAAAAACCTAATTTTATCGAGGTCGCATCATTACTTAAAGTAATTAGGTACTCGGTGACAATAGAAGCCACTCTCTCATTCGAGTTAGAAAGGATAAGTTTATCACGGAATAATGCGAAGATACGTCAAATGATTCAAACAGAACGTCAACAATCTTGGCATGATTCCGGACGTTAGAGTGCAAAATATGTTTTTGTACTGCCGACGCCACAAAGCCATAACCTAAACATTCCTGACTGCTTCTTTCGGAGTTTGCTTGCCAACTGACGGACAATTGTCTAATCAAGTGGCTTTTTTTAGCGCGTGTGTGAAGAAACCTTCCATATGTTATGCAAAGAGAACTTTGGTCACGAGAGTAAATTTTTAATACTCTACGACGGAAAAGACACGTTCTTCTGTAGGCCGGGCTGAGGCTTTCTGCTTGGGAACAAAGAGTAGCTTTTTCAAAAAGAATGACATCTGAGGTAAAATTATTTCGCATCGAAGTGATTTCTATTGATGTTTCGAGACAGATAACCTATGGCATATTGGTTTCGTTCCGTATCTTGTGGACATTGGCGAACATTACAATATCCTGAATATCCGGTATTACTATTTCTAGTTCGTCGTTGTGACAGCTCAAGGCAGCTTAAATTTATCCCATTAGCAAACTGTCCTTTGACTTTAAATCGAAATTTAGTATTTTTATTATAATTAAAGCGATGCTTAATTTTGTGACGGACAGATTCTTATTGGTATTTAGAGTTGTATTTCCTGTCACGCTTTTGCCCATCCTTGAAGATTTCAATTTGCTCTCAGTTTTCAATACTATTCGTTGGGGTCCTTTAGCTCGCGGAGTTTTTCTTTGAAATAAGCTTTTGTCTCTAAAGTTGTGTTTTGAACCAAACAATATGTGGTAGATACTTGAGTTAATCGGTTGGGCAGTTCTAATTCAGAACTTCTTTAAGGAATTGAAATGTCCCTTCCTGTTACCCTGTGTCTGTTAGGTATCTCTCGCGCAGCTTCTCTTAAAGGTAAATCAAAGAATCTCAAAAATAATCTTTAACCGAAGCAGAAAGTGTGGTTATAATTCATAACGAGTTCTAAGTTCAGCAGTAAAATATGAATATCGAGAATTAGCCTCGATAATCTTATTAATTGGTCTCTGGCTAATAAGTTCAGTTCCAAAGAGACCCTCGATTAGACAGTTGGAAAGCACGATGTCGAGCCGCCGTTACCTTAGCGTACCCCGAAAAAGAGGAGGAAATTAACACCGAACTCGAGAAAGTAACGGAAATCGAGCCTAAAGCTCAGAGGAACGTTTAATTTAACTATCAGTTTATCATTATTGCATCTCTTAGTGATAGTACTTCGTTGCTGAGGAAGCTACAAAAAAATATCATGACGAGATAGGAACATATTGGATCAAGGATGGTTCAGGAAGGATAAGATCTGGTTTTCTGGAAATGCAGGGACATTAAATTTGACGGATACTAGTAACCCAACGGCACGTCGTCTCCGTAACGGAAGGTGTTGATACATTTGTAAAGAGTTATTCATGGTTAAAATTTCAAATGTTACTGCGTGATGCTTGCAACAAAATTGCTTATAGTTTCATTTAGGACGTGGACCTAACAGGCAATTGTGTTATGCCAAACGAATAGACGGCGTGATGGCCTAGTGGCTTTACACGCTGGACTACGAATTTGGCAGATGTGGGTACAAGCTTTGGTTTAGCCTGCTGACAGGGGATAGTTTGTGTATTCAAGAGCGGCGAATATTCGGTCGCCATATTGGACGGGTGGAAGATTTGGGACGAGTGACAAAGCGAGGAGGAGGGGGAAAGTTTTTTCTGGTTTCTCCCCTACCCCCCACCCCGTCGCTTTAACACCTGTCCCACATCTTCCACCCGTCTAATATGGCGACCAAATATTCTCCGCGCTGAATCTCGCGCTTTAAAACGCAAACATCCGCCTGCGAGCAGTCTCGCCTTGTCGTGTTATTGTATATGTCTCTTAAGGAAATCTGGTTTGAGACTGGTGCTAACTATCTTTACTTCCAGTTACGTCATGCACACTTCTCACGCTGCGTCAGTTACAAGAGCTGTGAGAGTCGGTCTCATTCCTAGCGATTAAGAACTGAACTGGAAAAGGCATCATGCAAACGAACTCTTTGAACACTCGTGACTTAAAAATAAGATAAGGGGAGCATGTGACTTGAGTTTTTTGTTCGTTCTCGTCCTTGCTCCGGGGGTTTTTCTCCATGTCCTCCAGTTATCCTCCCTCCGCAAAAACCAACATTCCAAATTCCAACTCGATCTAGAAACAGTGGACAAGATGAGCCCCCCAATGGAATCTCCATTGCTAAATCATTTATTATTTATCATTTGTTTATTGTCATTATTAAGAAAATAGACACCTCCAGGAAATCAAAACCCTTATCAACAATTTTTTATCTTTCTTTCATTAGCGACTCATTTCCATGATGGTTAACGATTCCAACGGCCCTGTCAATAACCAGAGCCGGGCAAGAACGCAATTCTTCACACCCACGGAGGTGATGGGATGGTGTTTTGCATTTGGTCTCGTCGATATTCTCATTGTGATGAGCAACACCCTCGCCATAGTTGTGTTCACGCGTAGCAAGTTGCTACGGAAACGCACAAACTACTTTTTGCTGTGCCTGGCGATTGCAGATATGATGGTTGGTACAATATCATTACCAATATTTGTACATACTCTTGTTCTTTACACAAGAGGTGAAGTGCTGGAAGCCAAGTGGATCGACGTACTCCATAGATTATTGGACATTTTTTCAGGAATTGCTTCAATCTTTGCACTAACAACTATAGCATTGGAACGTTTGTACTCAGTGGTTTTACCAAACTGGCATCGAACCACACCAAGTTGCTTGTATTTTATCTTGATAAGCATGATATGGATTGTGGCAGGCGTGCATGTTTTTGTAAAAGTGCTCGCTGAAAAGAAAGTGGTCTCAGACGATATATTTTTGTACCTTTTGCTTGTTTCTTTCTTCTTTTGCGTTGTGGTAATTTGCTTGGCTTACATCGGTATCTGGTTCAAGGTCAACCAGAGGATACACGAGAAAACGAAGAAATCGTTGGAAAAAGACAAGAAGCTAGCAACAACACTTTTTCTCGTGTCGGCTATTTTCATCTTGACTTGGTTCCCATTCCAAGGAATGAACATCTTCATCCCAAGATGGTGTGAAAAGTCATGCACTTTACCCATTCTGACTCTCCTTTTCCTCACTAAATTGATGCAATATATGAATTCGTTCATCAATCCTATCATCTACACCTTCAAGATGCCTGACTTCAGGAGAGGTCTTCTAACTTTATTTGGAAAGAAAGTTTTATATGGGGCATCGACCCGAGCTACTTCGAGGATGTTATCTGACCGACGCCGGAGAGCGAGCACTTTACGATCGAGTGAAACAGAAGCTAATGGCAACTGTGAGTGTGCACTGTAACTTTGTAGAGTGACCTAAAAAGACTATTCCATAGGAGCAGCATCGTCTCAGTTACTATCCTAGGGGATGAAATGTAATGATTTCTATCTGAAAGAATTTCTATTCAAGACTGCGCTTAGTGCGGGGGGGGCGACACCACTGTGTCGAGATCTTTGCGCATGTGCACAACTGGGCTATCCGAAAGTTTCCACAATCTATATAATCAATCTTCCTCAGGGATGATCGCTCGAAACGGACGCCCTACAATGTTTTGACATCTTTTGAAGTCTCCTTTTTGTTCGTGGTTTTGATAACTTCGCTTAACTCTCGAGCTGAGGTGAAGCCAAAGGCGTCCCGTTGTCAGACAACGTACAATATGAATTTTTAAACAAAGAAGTAGATGTCGACTTTTCCGTTCAATACCCACCCGAGAACTTGTTATATCTTGCTTTAGTGAATAGAAGGAAGAAACCTCGAGGTATAATTACGGTCCTTAAAATCAATTAATTCCTTCCCCCCCTCCCCCCAAAGTTGTGGATTTTGATTGGTTCTCCATTTCACATAAATAATTGAAAAGATGTCAAAACATTTACCGAGTAGCAATAGAAGAAGATCATTCGTTGACACTGTTTGAGTGTGGACGCTTACCGACATTTTCGGCTCGTGCATGAATAAGGTTTCGTGGTCATTTTCGAGACTTATTATGTTCCTTTTCAAATAACCCCTGAATATTTAATTTGGGTCTTTAGTCAAAAGGTGTGCAAACTAAAATAACTGTTTGGTACCTCGCTACCAAGAACTAAATGTAAAACAATCATTCTTTTTTTTCTGTATACCCTCATCAGCGACAAATCAAAGGAGCCTCTTCCTTAGTTTTAGGTTTATCTTTATACAGTGTTTTGTCTTTAAGGCGAACTCAGTCAATGTAAATAAGTTGCATAGTGTCGCACTTTACGTATTATATATTATGAACTTTATGTACATAAAAAAAACAAAGGTACAACTGCACTATATTAGTCCATGGAGGTTCCACTCTAGGAGTTCATTGATTTACTAAGAAAGCTCGAAATCAAATTGAGTTTTTGAAATTAAGTTTTAGACACCAAGTGAGCTATTACAACGTCAATTTTTTTGGAACAAATCTGACCTCTTTCACTAATCTGCAACCTCGTCGTTTGAAATCTAAAGGATTGATTTGCAAGACTTGGTTGAATCCACGTCGTATTTTGATGAGACCTGAGACTCGTGAGAGGTTCAAATTAATATTTCTTTAACCCTTTACAGCCTTAGTTCAGTGTACGTATTCTCCACACTGGTCACTATACACTTCCTAAGGTGTGGAGATGGAGAATTTGTTTAGCAATCCAGAGAATCTTAAGTAGGTTATAATTTGCTTTATTATATGGCTGTCTCACAAGGACTGGGAACTACCGAATTCACGAATTTGATTGGCTGAAATCAATATTGAAAGTGGTCTAGATTTTCCCATCTAGATCGGCATCTAGACCGGTCTAGAAAAATAGGGTACAAAGAATATAAAAATTTGGCATATAAAACACAACCATATAATAAACATCTTATTAACCGAGCTAGGTCGGTCTGTATGGGAGAATCTTGACCTCGGTCGCTGGTACAGGCCTCACTGCGTTCGGTCTGTACTGGCGACCTCGGTCAAGATTCTCCCATACAGACCTTCCGCTCGGTTAATAAGAACTAATTATTCTCGCGCCCTTAATGAGTGTGATTCGGGAGTGCTGTTTTAAGGAGAAATTAGTCACTCGTAGGGGTCAAAGGATAAACAGAAAAGTTAGATGGTTGGCCTCAAAAAGTGAAATCAAAATATACGGGTATTAATGTACATAACAGTAGCAATGTATCTAAAATGACACTTTAACACATGAAAGTATTGAGAATTTGTCTATTCTCCAGGTTTTATACTGAGAGGGAGAAAGAAAGGCAATTTTTGTTTACAACTTTTAAATTTTTTTGGCAATGACAGTTTTAGAAGAATTTATTTCCTATCACAAGTTTCACTGCTCAGCTCCATCCTTTATTTTCGAAATTCGAAACATGAGTGTTGAAGTATACTACGATTTTTTGAAATGTATATGGATTGAAATATAGTACATACGATTTTAATTTTGTACACTTAATAACGTAACAGTAATGATGGAGTGTAATGGTACTGTTAAGAGATAAAGTATTATTTTGACTTAGCTGATTAAAAACAAGACTATAATGTACATTGATGACCTTTGTTAGTGTCCTTTCTATTTCATTTTTTTAAGGCTACAGCCTTCTATGGAGGCGAAGTCATGATGTTGTCCTGTTAAGTGAGTAAGTGAGTGTAACAATAGAATACGAACGACCTCTTAGCCCACAACGAAGTCTGCCGAGTTTTACCCGATATTCCTCGCTATCAGCTTTTGTCAGTTTCAGAACGTCATTGGTCGTTCAACGCTTGGTGACGACTTCTTCGGATCGCTTTAAATGTTACTCGGAATTAGCACATAATCAAACTGTTTCTAGGTGATACTTATTGTTTGTTTCGGAGTACCACAAAAGACGATAAACATCTCACAATCATTTCAGGGTGATATGCGGGATGCAGCAACTGTTGCAATATCCGTCTTAACTGCCCTTATGCATATTATAGTTTAATAGCCTATATTTTTCTCTAATGCCTTTTTTAATTCGATACTAGCATGTGCTGGATTTTTTTGCCAAACGCTGTCCTATCTATAAATAATAATCTGAATACACAAGGATTTTTATTGGTTCTTACTTATGATCTATAGGAGGACAGACATACAGTATATCATTATTAACTTCTCGGGTTTCTTTATTTTATAAAACAAATAGATTGAATGTTACCATGTGTCTGTTCACTGTTAGATCATTGTTCTTAAGGATGAGGTGCTTTGGTGACACACTGCTTCATGTATGCTACCTTGAACAGACGCTTTCCTGATGACAGATGCTTGCCTGTACCGAGATGCATGGCAACGTGGAATCTTTTGCTAAATATAACATTTCAGGGTCACCCCTCCACTTAAGGCTTCCTCTCTACAACTGCCACTTCCTGATCCAATGATTTGATTTGATTTAATTTTGACTCGAAAGCCTCGTTATAAGATCAAACCATTTGTTCAACTTCTCCGTCATTGCAACCAACATTTTCTTCTCCTGATGAAAAGCAAAGTAAATTTGGGACTTACAAGCCGTGGCAATCGAACCACTGGACCATGCAGAGCTTCATGGGCTACCTGGTGCCCGTGTTAGATGGTGTCTCATTGAAAACATTTCTCAAGCCATTATGCAACTGTAATTTCATTAGAGCAAGGCAAACTGCTCGGTTATTTATACCACACTTAAAAAGCCCACATAGTTTCTTGGTATATTCTAGTTACGTAATCAAAGTCGAGTAAATTATTGAGCTCTAGCCATGCCAAGGTTTTGCGGTTGTTGAATCAAGAATCACTTCCCTATTAGCACAAGTATCTAAGAATTCCACCAGAACGACGACTGGTTGGCTGCAGATTTAAGGAAAGTTTTAAGAAAACACACCTTCAGCCTTGAAAGGTTAGGTGGCTGGTTTCTAGTTCCTGTTTTGTCTAAGTGAAGACATCCTTTAGTGTTGCTAAAAAGATGTTGCTTTATTGCTAACCTAACCATCACTAACGGAAATCTATTACAGATTGTCTGAATGATACATCACTCACGCTGATTTTTCTCAATTCAGTGCCACGCTTTGGTTAAAATCATCCATTTATAATGATTGTTTTTCTCCAAAATTCTCCAATTCGATCGCTTTCTATTGAAATCCGGGATTAATCCCAGTTGGAAGACACCATTTGCTAAGACATCTCTGAAATTTTGAACTCGGAAGATTGCAGGCTGAAAAATATTTCGTGTGTAAGCTTCCAAAAGTAAAGTCAGTTTTGAAATTTTAAATCAAGAGTAACGGTACTCTTGCCAAAAAACAAAAAAAATTCAAAATGAAACAGAACAATTTTTGCACTGCTGGATGGCATACAGAGGGAATGTTCTAGAAGTAATTCAGGTTCACGCTCCCTGCCTCCCGAACTCTCAGATTTGGCTGAAGCTATCAAATCAAATGATATAAACTAGATTTTGAAATTTTAACCAGAGGAGAAACAGGAAAAGTAGTCTAAAAATTTTCAGTCCAGCATACGAAAAAAAAAACAGTATTAATTAGATGTAAACAAACCTACATAAAGACAGCGAAAAATTCCGTCGAGAAACTCGGTCGGTTTTCAATAATAATTGAAAGTCAGATCTGATTACATCCAGGTGACCAACCAAAACCGCTTGAGATACTTAAGACAAAGGGTTGCATAAATACCGTGGGGTTGAAAACAAAAGTCGGATTTTGGCCACAGTGTATGCAAATAAACATCGGCAACGTCAATGTAAATTAGCAGGACTACTTAATCCTTGAAGTTTATCATTTGAAAATGCTCCAGCGTGACATTAGAAGCAGCAAGGAAGTTTGAACTCTTCGAAGGATCAAGTAAAAGAATACAGGATACACAACACTGGAAAGCGATTTTAATCGATCCAGGATTCAAGTACGTGCTATATCACTAGATATTTCCGACTTACTGAATGATTTATAGGGGTCTAGAATGGAATTTGAAATTCGCCAAGAAACCCAGACACTCAAAGTAGTAATTTTGCACGCAAGTCGATCGATTAAGAAGTCTTGAAGCATTCAGAATTTTCTAAGACCGATTTTGACACTTTGAAACTCCTGGGTTCTAGAATCCTACGCGCAGTTCTCACGAAGCCACGGGGAAAAAGTTCCTTGAGCACAGACTTCCAATACAATCAATGCATCCGAAATACATTTCGAATCCGTCGAGAAAAGTAAATAGTTGTGAATTGACGTTCGATTACCGGTATTCAGAGTTCCATATGTCGACAAATTTGCGATTTTGATTTACGTTTTGATTTTTCAATGCGAGATATATTTAACTAGTGCAAGAAATTTTGGAAATCATATATCTCGTATTAAGGACAACTTTTCTGGAGTATTCCTTATTTACTTTAGTACGTTTTCGACCTGAGAGCAAACAAAAATGATTACCTGCCTAATTAATTCTTTATTATATTGGCTTTACAGAATCAAAATTGTTTCGGTCAGATCTCAATTATGATCCATAAAAGTTTAATTGTTGGATACAGCGAGAGATTCAGGCCATATTAGTTTTATCTGATTTCTTGGCGATCTTGGCAATAAGCTTTCAAATGCATAGACATAAGAATATCTGCTCCTCAAAAACTAGACACCAGAGTCATTTTGATTCACCCAATCAATCTAACCTCTGCACACAATAAATTTTTTATCAGCGTCGTGAAAAGATTTTGGCAAAGTGTTGATTCATGCTGTTGTCTTCTGTCAGTGACCATGAATTTTCAAAATGGAATACTGCCAGGTGCCAATATAAATATCAGTGGATTTGAAAGCGCTGTTTACCTAAAAAAAAGTATGATATATATACTTGTATTCTACCATTTACTATTCAAGACAGAAAATTTGACTTTTTCAATCATCTTGATTTCATGGTCTAAATTCAATTACGCGTCTAAGTCCGCCCTTCAATGAAAACACTAGTCAAAGCCACTGTGTGCAGCACAATGAGAGCTATACAGCTGTAAGTGGAATCTTGAATTACCGTGACATTTTCACATAATGCATGGCCTGTATAATTCTCTTTGGACATTCAATAGGCAAAATTTTGTACGATTTTTGAGGCACTAACATTTAGCTTCGTAAGTTAAGGCAGACAACGTTCTTCAGTATGTTTGTTATTAGGACAGGAAGTTTTCTTCGTTTTTAATTAAGCTTGCTTCAAAACATTTTTTTTCGTCAAGCTTACTTGCAATGTTTTAAAGTGTCTGTTGAATTATTTATCACCAAAAATTACAAACTGGCATCTCGGCAGGGTTCTTCTTTCATCTTTCAGCTTTTCTCGCGAATGTTCCATATAAGGAATTCATTGGAATAGGGTTTGTTTTTAACAAAGACTCCCTTACAGTTTATTTGATACTTTTATTTGCACCTGACAGACTGAAATTGATGTTGTTGGTTTTCAAGCTTTAGAAGAAGTAACAAATCCTTTCTGACTAGGACTCATCAACCTTCTGCGATCTAATATCCGAATAATCCTGACAAAAAGTAATAGCAATTAAACTCAAGAGAATTGTCATTCATTTCTCTCCTATAATATCTTTATTTTGACAATAGAGCCAGTAAATATTCACAAAAAAAGCAAACAAAATCACGCTTCTTGCTGAGGAAAAAACCTATACAGCTCAATCCGAATTCGACCAATATCTGCGGAAAAACTGAGAACAGTTGTTCATACATATTAGTCAATTACTTTTGATTCGTTTCTTCCATTTAACCATCAACTAACTTATGAAGAGCTGCAACTTTTCATACTTTATACCTTTTGTTTATCCATTTATTCAGTTAATATACTATCAACTATCAATCCATCGATTCATCGTCGTTCCATGTTTTTTTTTTGTTTTTTTTTTTTTTTGGTCGCCTGTTCAATTCTTTCGTTACAAAAAGTTCCCTGGGAACTTAATGAGAGAATGGCAGAAAGTTTAGAGAGAGATCTTAGCTAGAAAAACCAGGAGCATTTTTGAAGTTGAAGCGATCGGGATTTAATGAGAATATCTCTGGTGCAATTTAGATAGTTCATGGTTATTTAGAAAGTACATTGAATATACCATAAATACTTCAATCTTGCTTATCTTTTCGTCCGCTGCAGTTGAATACGGTCAAGAAGTGATTGCTGACTCGATTGGTCTTAAAAGGCCACTTAATTCTTAAGAGTAACTTATTCGTCATTCTGTATCTATCGTTTCAGCATGAACGTCACACAAGTCACCCCAAAATTACGATCTATGAATAGCACTTTTAACCAGGATCCAAGCATGGAAACATACCAGGTGTTAATCCTAGTGGCCTGTTACTCCATTGTGTCTCTCGTAATTTTGACCGTGAACTACCTCATGGTGCGAGCCTTTATCACAAGTCAATCGCTACTATACAATCAGAGGTACTTCCTGGGATACCTCGCCTGCGCTGATCTTGCGGTGGGACTGGTATCGATACCAACCTTCTTGTACAACATGAGCAACTGGCCAAGTTACAGCTTTTATATTTATGAAGCAACTGACTGTGCATCTGGATTTGGCTCAGCTGGCATTCTTGTGGCTCTATCGGTACAAGCATTACGTTCAACTTTTAAGTCCCCGACTCGGTATGCGGGTTATCCTAAAAAGCGCAATTTCTACCTCGTCATCGCGGGCTCAACGTTTATTGCTGGTTGTGCTGCGGCATTTAATGTTGCATGTCTAATGGATTATGTTTCTTTCTTCGTTTACTTCTACTTAGCGGTTGGTTTCTTCGCCATAACTGCTCTCTTCCTTATTGTCACGTGTACAGTGGTAACGGTTTCTCAGCTGTGTGGCAAGGTGCGTGAAACTGATCGCGACGAAGACAAGAAAATAAGAAAATCAGTGATGGCATCATGTGCTATCTATGTATTTTTATGGGTCTTTCCCTATACTGGTTTTACGTATTATAACTTTTGCAACTTTTGTGTCGCTGTTTCTGTTACGTTTCTGTACAGTATCAGAATCCTTTTGTATCTGAAATCATTTGTAATGCTCGGATTTTATTTGTATACCATCAGTTCACTTCATAGAACTGTGAAGAAAATCCTTACTTTTGACTGCCTTGGAATACCAAGATATCAGTACACCAGAAAAGATGAATTTTAATATCTATTACAATGTCTCAAACGCGTTTAACTCAAATAATAACGTTTCCGACCAAGTTGCGGGTTAATATGCTCAGCGGCATCAGCAAATAGCGATAAGCAAGTATTCAAAGGGATTATACATATTTAAAATTCACGTTTGTTATAAACTGTCACCTGTGAGGACTTTTGTAATATTTACTTATACTTCAGAGCTTTTGCAGAGCATGTCTACTTGAAATATTCAACAGAGCTGAGAGCCTTGATGCGCCTTGGACTCGAAAAAAAAAATGTAAACTCAAATAAATCAAGATCCCAATGTACAGTACCTTTGCTTTCAAATATTTTTCATTGTTCGAGCGAGGAAATGTGTTGTTAGTGAAATTAGTGCTCTCAAAAGACACGCAAACTTAAATCATTCACACTAAAAATTATCTGATCTCCCCAGACAGAAGACAGTTTTCAGTCATACTATACTGAAGTTTAGACAAACTCTACCTGAGTGTAATTCTAAATCTTGTTTGCGGTTTTGAGATTGAAAAATATTCTATAAAGATTACAAACAATAATGGTCCAAAATCAGTCAGTTTTGGGGATATTTCTATGTTTCGAGTATTGTTGAAATTGGGTTGTCCGATCTATTTTTGAAATCATAGCAAAATACAAAACCATCCTTGAGGGCAATGTAGCCAGCTGCATTTTTGTGCGAAACGAGCACCGTTTTTCATCAAAGTTCAGTGTCAAAGGTGATCAACTTCGTTCTGTGAAATCAAATAAATCAAACAAGGTTATTACCAAGCATAAACTCATGGACTCTATTCTTTCTTCCTCCGCCCCAACCTTTCACGCCCCCCTCATCCTCACAAAACGTCAGAGTGAGACTGGGATTGATCTAGCGAGAGGAATCGACGAACTTATCGACTTAAAACGCTTAGCGAGTGAGTGGCATTTACCTTCAGGTAAATATTGGATTTTCAAAGAAGATATTCCGTGATATGTGGTTTTAGCCGAGTTCAGGGAAGATAACTTTTGGTCATCACGTGAATCATGTTGCTTAAGGCAGGACTTTAACTCTATTTCGTACTTTCTCATCCAAGGATTAAGGCCCCGTCCACACGTATCCGGATCTTTTTGAATCCGCAACTTTCTCGTTGTAGACTGACCTTCCTTCGACACGTATCCGGTGAAAAGGGTTGATGAATCTGCAACTTTTCGAAAACGCTTCCCAGAGTGGATTTTCTTGTGAACTTAAAAGGATTCGAATGCGATAATTGAGGACGCAAATATTTTAAATCCGCATCGAGAAAGTCGCGGATTAAAAAGAATAATGGATACGTGCGGACAGAGCCTAAATTGCACCGTGCTGAGTGGCAAATTAATCGTTACACCGTTAAATGGTTGTCGGAATATGAGAAGAGTTAGACATGCAGTGAAAATTAGCGAAATGTCCATGAGCAAGTTAGCAAATTAATTTGGAAACATTCTAAAATCATTAGCTCTTCATACATCTGTTCGAGCATTTTCTCAGCAAGTGAATATTAGAGATGCGCGATACAAGTCTCGTCGTGTTCATTTTCTCCGCTTTTTACCCTTCTCCAAAACTCGCTGCTAATTTCCCCTATTTTTTCTCTTTGTTAGCTTTAAAGACCTTTCATTAAGGCATTTCTTTCATTTCTAGGTAACGATGCAAATTTTTGGGTAGTAATTTTTAATTTTTGATAAGCCGTGGTAATTAGTCCTGAGGAAAATTTTCCAATAATCCATTGTTTGAATCATGAGGAGCTTTGCGCCTGAAAAAAAATTTATGCAAATGAGCTGGCTGCACACTCAATGTGCAGCCAGCTCATTTGCATAAGTTATTCAAACCAAGGTTTGACACCCCTCAGTAGCATGAGGTGTTCGCTGAACACTCCAGGACATTCGTGGTCTCCCTCGCAGCCGTTTTTTCGGATGTCACGCAACGCTCCCCCAAAGAGTTCTTTTTGGGGGAGCGTTGCGTGACATCCGAAAAAACGGCTGCGAGGGAGACTAGGACATTCGATAATCGCCACAAAAATGTAATTAAAGCTCTCCTCGACTAAAATGAAAAAAGCCGCAACTTCCGATAATTACATTTTAAATAATTTTCGAGACACAACACTAATTTAGTTACACATTGTCCAGATAAAATAGTCAAGGGAAAGTTCGTAAGGAACCTTTACGGACCTAATTCGAAATAGCCCGAAAAGCGGTTCACTTAGCTTATTCTATTTGTAGAAACAATTTCTTAAGCCAAACAAACAGTAATTCGTTAACACAATGTCTAGAAATAATCCAGGCCAAATGTCACTGCAAAATATAACAGGGACAATCAGTTCCATGATCAACGGCCTATTTAAGGCTAACTCCGAAAATTCCTTCTTTGCACAGCGCATATTTTGAACTTTAAAGGTCCATAAACTGCATTGATTAGATAAGCCAAAAAATACACATCGCTTTGAACGGACCATTTCCGTTCCGTCCACACGCTCTACTCTTATTGTGAACTTTTAAATGCGACGATTTTGGAACGGCAGTACCATTATACATACCGAAACACAATCTTACATTTCGTAAAAAAATACATCCACGGATTTGCGCTCACAAACCACGCGATAAAGCGACCAAGAAGGTGGCAGAAAAATATGCAAAGCGAGAAATATTTCATGTGTGACATAACTATTTTGAAATGGGGTTGTGTCACGCATAAATACGTTCAGGTTACGACTATTTTCCTTTGACATTGGTAAGCTGTACCTCAACCCATTTATGATCCCTAATCAATGCACCATGTCGTTTGGCTTTTTCTCCATCTACTATGAAGAAAAAGTAACTCAGCGGTGTACACAACCCAAGAGGGTATAGAAAAAATTAAAAGTATCCCACAGGTATACACTACCCAGAAGGGT